TGAACATGAGCTGGGGCCAAAGAGCAATCTAAGCAATAGGAATAGCATGAGAAAGGCACAGAGGCAAGGGATTATAAGACAACAGTGCAAGTCCGCAGGAAGTTTGAATGTGATGAATCAAGGTGACTACGCTAGAGAATAATGAGGCTGAGGCAGATTAAGCATGGAGGGCAAGGTAATGAAAAACACTGAACACCACTGCTCTGATAGGAATTATCTGCTGGGTGTTCTTGAGTGAAAGAGACATCATGAAAATGGATTTTGAGGAGGATCATCTTAGAAGCATATAAAATGGGGATCTGGAGAGCAAGGAAACTGAAAAGAAAGAATTACAATAACCTGGGCCTCAGATGATACGGATCTGCACAGAGAGCTACAAAATGATGGCAGAAATGTAAAAGATCCAATCTCAAAGAGAAAACTGACTAAAAATTGGAACAACTTAGCAAGATTTTGGTCATGGAGAGTGGAGAGCAGAAAAAAACTAAAAGACTTATCCAAGACTGGGATAAGAAATATGAAGGGTAGTGAGTCTATTCAGGGTAAAAAAGTTAAGTAATGATGCTTATTAAAAAAGAAAATGGGAGCCGGGGGACAAGAGGGATGACTTCTGTTTCCAAATACCAAGTTGTGTAGATACCTGTGGAAAAGTCCACAAGTCAAGAGATGACCCACAGCCTGGGAAATATTAAGTTATGAAATATAGAAGGTAAGTGTAAACAATCAAAATAGATAAAGAAGAATGAGTATAGAAAAAGTAATGAATAAAATTAAGACATGGGGATTATTCTCAGTGGAGAGGAGGAGAAAAAAGACCAATCAAGAAAAGCTAGAAATTGGAGAAAAATGACCAAAAAGGATCCCACAAGTGAAAGGAGAAGAGAATTCCTGAGATGCAGGGGAAATTCAACAGTATGAAATATAGATCAAGAAGGATAAGAACTAAGAAAATGTATTAATATTTATCCACTAGTGATTCTGAAGACATTTCAGGGGAGTGCCGAGTACAAAAGCCAGTAGGGGTGCCGGCCCCGTGGCTTAGAGGTTGAGTGCGCGTGCTCTGCTACTGGCAGCCCGGGTTCAGATCCTGGGCGCGCACCAACGCACCGCTTGTCCGGCCATGCTGAGGCCGCATCCCACATATAGCAACTAGGAGAATGTGCAACTATGACATACAACTATCTACTGGGGCTTTGGGGAGAAAAAGGGGGAAAAAAAAGGAGGAGGATTGGCAATAGATGTTAGCTCAGGGCCCGTCTTCCTCAGCAAAAAGAGGAGGATTGGCATGGATGTTAGCTTAGGGCTGATCTTCCTTACCAAAAAAAAAGCCAGTAAGGAGAAGTTTTAAGAACAAATTAATGAGGAAATGGGATTGAAAAATGGATGTCATGTTTGAAAAATCATGAATGTTAGAAGAAAAATAGAATGGTTGTTGGAAACGGGCAGTGAAGTTGAATGTTTTCTACATTTTATGCTGTAGATGAACATACTATTGTCATCCTAACTGTCCATCTGCCTGGCCTGGTACGTGGATATTTCATTTCCCTCCACAATTCTACTTTCCCTGAGGCAGTTCAGAGAGAAATGTTATTTGAATCTGTAAGTTATTGCTTTACCGTCTCAGCTACCTTTTTAAACATGTTTTACTTGCACAATTTAGCTTTCTACTACTACAAAGCATCAAAAATATCAACACTGGAAGATGATATAATTATAAACCAAAATGGCATTTTTCAATCAATTTTCCAATAATTGTAATGGATTTGCAACTATACTGCACATTCCCTTCCACAGTACCTGTTATGACCAGGGATACATATACTAATATTTAAATGGCTGGCAAGCATTAGGGTGTCCATTAGAGATATGGTAGCACAGTGGTCACAAGCACAAGCTCGAGAATCAGAATGTGTAGGTTAGAATCCCCACTCTATCACTTACCAGCTATGTGATCTTGGGAAACTCATTCAACTCTTTAAGCCTCAGTTTCCTCATCTATAAAATGCAGAATATAATAATAATATCTATCATAAGCATGAGAAATGCTTAACATGGGGTTTGGCACACAGTAAGTGCTCTATAAATGTCAGTTATTACCTAGAACCTTAGAATCAAGAGTAAAGCTAACTGTTCTGTATGGGAATCAACTAACACATTCTAGCACTGCCACCTTGCTCAATGGAGAAAATCTCTGAAACCTAAGATGACTTTCCCAGGATTATGTTGGATGGCAGCAGAGTTATAGAAGAACCACTTCATCATACCAGGTCCTAAAATGAGAAGCTGAGAATGGGAGAGGAAAGTATTGGTGAACAGTTCATTTCAGATTAAGAGCATAAAAACAGAATCTGCAGGATAAAGAAACTTAGTGCATGTCACTCACAGTTAGGAACACAAAATGAGGTCATATAGGCTGACCAACAATATTGTAATGCTAAGAGTGAGAAATGGAGACCAAGAATGGACTTCTACTTATGCCCCCAAAGAAATCTTTTTCTACCATCTTATACTACTTGGCTATTTCAATAGGTGTGCTGAATTAGCCTTGATAGTTCTTTCAAGCCATGTCTTTCCTCACATTCATCCCAGTATAACACTAATCAATCTGGTCATATTTTCTTTTCTCTGAATTTCTGCCAGATGCATGGAAATTCTGAGATTTAAGTAATCTGGGTAAACATTACTCTGAGTAAAGAGATGTTAGCTGGTACATCTATAGTTATTTCAATACGTTGCTCTGCTAAGAGCTTCCATTGAAATAGAAGGCAAGTGATCCTCTACACTGTATGGGAGGAGTGTGTGTGTGTGTACATGCACACGCACACACACGTTCTCCCTCTGACAACATACCCATCCTATGTAATATCTGTACACAGGTAGCACTGGCCTCAGGCAGAATTAGTATCTCACAGAGGGTAAGGCACAACTTAAGCAGAGAGCAAGGATCTAGAGATAACCAGATTCATTAGTTTCTGGTTTCTTGAAATTTCAACGACAAGGGAATTAGGAATGGTAATCTATAGGCAAAAAAAAAAAAAAAAAAGAGAGAGAGAGAGAAGGGAGGATAAGAAAATAAAGGATAATGGAAAACACTGTTTTGAAAAAGTTAACCAACGAAACCAGGATGACAAATGACAAGCAGGTACCAATGGCTAGAGGAAATAGGAGTAGATAACCTTGATGTTGTTAGTGGTGAAGGCGGACCATAGTGGGGGTAGAGAAGGGATATTACAGGGAAGGAATTTATGATCCAAAAGGTGGACCTCTATGATCTAAGATTTTATGACTGATTTTTAAAAACATCAATCATAAAATAACATGATTAATAGTGTTGTCCCTGTTCAGGATAGCCAGTGTGAAGTTGCATAACTTCTCTTGGAGTTTTCATCAGAACGTACATCATATTCTTCTGAATAGGATTAATGGAATCAATTGCAATTTCGAAAGCAGCCATAAGTGACTCAATTCCAAATCTGGTGAATAAGTGGGTAATTAAATGGTCAAAAATGAGATGTGACTCAAGAGTAATAGAGTTTTCTTGTATGGTTTATTAAATGGGAATTTTGAGAGTGTTCCAAATATTTGGAGGAGTGGTACCACTACTGGAATGATAGCACTACTGGAATAACCAGAACTGCTCAATCTAAAGGACAATCCACGTTTGGATGCCTAAGTTCTGGTGTGTTACTTTAAACTAACCTCATTACTTTACACAATATCCCTCGGTATACTGAAAGCCTCAAAGATGAAATACAGTGCCCGATGACGATGAGTTTAATATTGTGTCTTTTCTGGATTACAGATGGAGTACGCCAGAATTCAGAAGAATGAACAATTTTAAGGTGAAGTATTTAACAGATTACCACTGTGGATATATAAAGCTAATGGCAAGAAACAGATGGAGAATGATGAGTGAGGTGTTGAGGCCATCTAAGGAGGTGAGTCCAGGGTAATGACAAGACTAACAGACCATCTAGTCAGGGGTTTTGTGCAGACTGATAGAAACCTGAGAAAACAGTATTGTAATGGGCTTAAAGGGACAAGTGTATATTCTTTGTAAGGATTTTAATGTCTTCTTCAAGCACCTCTGTCTCTTCTTTCTCCCATGTGATGCCATAACCAGGATAGTGTAAATACCTATTTGGACCATGGTGTACAGTGGGAAGGTGGAAAGGAGAGCCAGAAGTCACCAAAAGGTACAACCATCCAAGCTCAAGCCGCTGGGCTGAATCTCCACTCACCTCTTTCTCTGCATCATTCCCACAACCATCACTAATGCGTCCACTTCCTTTGCTGACACAGGTACTGGGACTGGGGGTTGTGAAGGATACGTATGGATGCTCAATGACTCAGTGGAGTCAGTGAAGGTGATATATGAAGAAAAATGCTGGCGTGCTGTTAAAAATATAGCATTCTGAGTTTGCGGGGGTATATGGATTTCCACTATCAGGAACATCAGAATAAAATAAAATGCACACTTAAGCATAAATACATTAAGTGTCTGTAAAAATTTCCCTAGAACTAGGATCTTAGAAAGCTACATACAAATGTAAGTCTCACACAGAGGCTGCTTTGCACTAAAGCAGCTTCTTAGATCAGATTAGGAGCACAAGTGCACCTTCAGGGGAATAAATGGGAGAAGGGGATCATGGGAGATTGGAAAAAGCAGAGGAACTAGGAGGAGCCACCTCTCTCAAACCTACAGCTACTCACCCAAAAAACAAAGCTAAGTGCCTCGAGCCAAGACAAGCAACTTGCTCTAATGCTATTTTAAATTTCTAAAAGATCATTAGGCCATCAAGAGCTCCACTCCATCAGACACCTCCCAAGACAGTCAAGCTAATCAACCTGCATCAAGGTACTCGGCCCAAACTACTGAAGAGCTATTCTAACTTTACCACCACTATCGATTCTGACCCTAGGTAAGGTTACAACGATAACAAACTTTCTGCCTTTTTACTGCACTGAAAGACCTCTCACCAGCATGTGGTTTCTCTAACATTGAATAATGCCCAAACTATGACTGAAGTTTTTTCCTAAACTCCTATGGATTCAGGTTTTTCTCCATTGTGGATTCTCTGATGTCGAATGAGACTCGACCTCTGAATAAAGGCTTTCCCACACTCATTACATTGATAGGGCTTCTCCCCTGTGTGAATTCTCAGATGCTGAATGAGGCCAGTGTTCCCATTGAAAGCTTTCCCACATTCTTTACATTTATAGGGTCTTTCGCCAGTGTGGATTCTCTGATGTTCAATAAGGCCTGACTTCTGACTGAAGGCCCTCCCACACTCATTGCATTTGTAGGGTTTCTCCCCAGTGTGGCTTCTCTGATGGCCAATAAGATGTGAGCTTCGCCTGAAGGTTTTCCCACACTCATCACACTCATAGGGCTTCTCCCCTGTGTGGATTCTCTGATGTCCAATGAGGTGTGAGCTATGACTGAAAGCTTTCCCACACTCATTACATTCATAGGGTCTCTCCCCACTGTGGATTCTCTGGTGCAGAATAAGGCCCGCACTCTGACTGAAAGCCTTCCCACACTGATTGCACTGATACGGCTTCTCCCCAGTATGGATTCTCTGGTGCAGGATCAGGCCTGTGTTTTGACTGAAGGCTTTACCACACTCCTTACAGTGGTAGCGTTTTACTTTGTTGTGGATATCCTGATGGGAAAGAAGGGCTGACCTGTAACTGAAGGCTTTACCACACACATTACACTGATAGGGTTTCTCCCCAGTGTGGATTCTCCAGTGGCGAACAAGGCCTGAACTCTGAGCAAAGCTCTTCCCACATTCATCACATTTATGTCGTCTCTCTTGGGTGGGATTTCCCCGCTGCCTCTCTAATCTGCCCAGGTCTCGAGCTTCTCCATGCTCAAGACCCCCGATAACATCCCCGTTGCATTTGGCAGCTGTCTCTCCATGTGGTTGGATTCCAGTAGATATTACCTGTTTTGAAGCTAATTCCCTGTTCTCATTCCTGGTCTCACCACCTGAAATAAAAATGAAATAAACATCAAGCCAATGTCACTTCCTCTTCTCTATGTTAGGAGAAAGGAATTGAAGATAGAGAAAAAGGAAAATACAGATGGAACAGCTACAAGTAAATGCAAAGCTTCCGTCTGTCGTCAAAATGCCTTCACAATATGGGGATATATGAGCAGGGTCAAACAGAAGTACGACAGGCCACATGGGGAAGAAGTGCCATGAAAAAAGAGGATAGTTGGAAGGGAGACTAAAGTAGGGAATGGATCCACTGAGGAGAAATGGAAGTTGGGGAATGGGAAGGAATACAGAACTACTAAAAGATCTAACGAGTGGGACAGAAATGGAAAAGAGCCCCAGTCATTAAAAGAGAGGAGCACAACAGGCCTAACTGAGAGAAATCTATGTAAAGATCTTATGGGAACTGGGAGCAGAAGCAATGAGTGAACTCAGAGAACACTGAAAGATTTCAATTTCCAATTAGCAAAAAGACCAATACCCACTTACAAATTGTAAGCTAAGTCCTGAATTGGAGAATAAAAGTTTCATTTTCAACCTCAAGAAGTCTCAATATTGTATCTCTCCATTAGATTCTGAGTTTAAACTCAACTATGCCTTTCAGAAAGTTCACAACCACCGTACACATAAAAAACAAATGAACAAAAAACCTTAAATGATAATAACAACCAGAGCTCTCCTTACCCAGGGAGAACATGTTTCTGTAATTCTCTGGCCTGTTATCTCTACTCAGATCCTTCTGTGATGGATCAAGAAGCCACTCCTCTCGAATTAGGGACACAGCCATGTCTTCGATCTTCTCCAAAGTCTGAAACAAAACAAGATCCCCATTTGGGGACTGGGACTGTTCCACAGCTCAAACCCAGAGTGTCAGAGAGATCCACCAGGGTTGGAGAGGATCAAGAGGTGGGAACATACTGTGTAAAGGAATGTGAATAGCTGGGAAGAAAAGATTTATTGGGGGAAAATCAAGGATTGATCTGTCTCTATGCAAAAGAATTTGGGGCAAGTTCTTGGGTGAGTACTGCTACAGACAGTCCAAACATGGGGTGGATGCCACAAAAACTGTCAAGTAGAGCTATGGGGTTTCAGTGAGAAGGAGCACGACTCACCTGGAACCCTGCTGTAAGGAGTGTAGCTGTCATCTCCTGGTCTCCAGAACATCCTTTCTGGGAAGGGGCAGGACTCTGAGAAGTAGAAATGGCTGAGAGAGGAGAAAGGAGCCATGAATGATACCAGCCTTGTCCTGTGGTTGTGGGACCTAGCATTAACCCATTCCAAAATTATCTGTATTTCAGAAAATATGCATGCCGGAGATTTTGCACATGAAATGCTGATATCACGGGCTCTGGATACATACCTATGGTTGCCCACAAAACACGTGCATTTTGATGTCCTACTCAGCCTCAAGTTACGAGTCAAAAATAGAAAGTGTACTGGTCTCCTTACAGGAATCACTTTACGGTTTCTTCTCTACCACCAAAGCTATATTTTATCCTTGAGCCTGTATGCAGTATTTCTTTAGGTCCTGATGTCTCAGCAAACTGAATATGAGAATCAATCTATCTCTATGAAGTCTATTACTTTTCTGAAATGTCTACCATGACTGCCAGTATCTGCTTCCTATAAATACCAGACAGTGCTATATATACCAGAATCAACATAGACTACTGTGTCTTGGGCAACAAGATTTAGAATTTTAGACAATAATTATATTATTAATTGAAAATGTTTCTATGCTTCTTCTTTAGAAATATTAAAAATCCATTTATATAGAACAACTACCATAAACCACATAAATGAAAAAATAAGGAATGCAGGGTAAGTATGAGATGAGACTAGAACATCTTGTTCTATAACAAAGTAAGAAAGTTCTCAAAAAATGATAAGGAAATGTCAAAAGGGCACAGGACCCAGACTGAAGGGGCCTCCTTTGGCCAAATCTGAGACAGTTTAAGCATCAAAATAAAGACAGTAACCGAATATTTCTGGAATAAAATAAGAAGTTATGAGCCCATACTGATAAATTAAAAAAAAATAATAAAATGAGGAGAAGGGAACACTCTCCATTACAATAAACAAATAAATATAGAAGGAATGACAAAGTTAGAAAATAATCACTTTGTAACAGTTTTAGTAATCACTGATTCAGTCAAGAAGCATCAATGAATACTAAAACTAGTGTTTTAGCAACAAAAGTTTGATGAGGACTAGGATATTTACAAAGACTTAAGAGCGTCTCCCCACAAATTACTTATTAATTACAAAGGGAAAAATAGTAACTTTTACAACAATCAACCTAGCAAGAATAACCTTAACCAAGTTATCAAAGATAACATTACCAATAACAGGACAAACGCCTGTTGTATCCCTGAGAAGGACACATCACTTCTGGGGTGTTCCTGCCAAATATACACAACTTCAATCTAAATATGAGGAACCATCACATAAACCCAAATTGCAGACATTTTACAAAATAACTGACCTGTACTCTTCAACTATTCCAAATTAAAGGAGACTAAAGAGACATGACAACTAATTGCAAAGTGTGTTCTTGGAATGGACTCAGGAAGAACATTATCGGGACAACTGGCAAAACATGAATATGAACTGTGGACTAGATTAGTAGTGTTACATTTCCTAATTGTGATGAATTTATTGCAGTTATCTAAGAAAATGCCCTGTTTGAGGAAATATAAACTGAAATATTTACAAATAAAGTGGCTTGATGATACCAGAAAAACCTCAATGCCTATGTTGTAAATATGGTGGGGTAACAGAAATGTGTGAATACATAAAAATCCCCCAATTTTTTAATTTATTCATTAGTTTACCACTGGAACTGACAGTCTGTATTTGAAGCCTAGATAAACATTTAAACCAGATCATATGACTGGTCTGTACAGTGATTCTAGTTCCTGGTTCTCTCCAGGAACTAGATAGGTGGCCCAAATGTACGTACTTTCCTTTCCTACTTCCCCCAACCCTCATCAATAAAATCTGGCTCCTCACCTCTCTCTTGTGGCCCATGGAACACTGGAGATTTGTGCTGGGTTGCCACAGGTTGGAGCTGAATATTTGGAGGCTTTGGTGCAGATTCTGAATGCACCACCTCCTCCCAGATTACCCTATGTCCATGTGCACGAGCTGGGACCTGGAAACAATGGGACAGTTGCGTTAAAAGGAATCCCCTTGAGAAATGAAGTGAACGATGTAAGAGGACCAAGAGAACATCTACATGCTTGGGGAAGGGCGAGGCAGAGTCTCATTTACTTCCTAGGGGCAGTAAGGAACACAAATATGTTGATTAGCACAGAAAGCCATCACTTCTGCTCAGTACTGAAGGAAAAGATTTCTGCTAATGCCCTCCCTGCTGCATACACCACCAATATTTTGCACTCTCAAGGCAGGAGAATAAGAATGATAAACAGAAACTTATAGCAGTACTATTCAGTGGAAAAAACTTTTGATAAGGAAGTAGGAAACCAAAGTTCTGGTCTCATATCTACCTTTAGTTATCTGGGTGCCCCTGAAAAAGTAATTTAAGCTCTCTATGCATCACTTTCCCATCTGGCAAACAGCACCAGTAAGTTGTAGAGGTGTTCTGAGGATAAAATATGGATTTATATCCTTTACAAAAATAAAAAGAACTCTACAAATACAAGCCATCTACACTACAACTATTTTCATCCTCCTACAAGAGAAACTCATGCTCAGCGTTTACTCCCATGGTGGTGCCAATCCACCCAGCTTCCAGGACTCCCACAGTCACGGCACGCACACCTCGTTCTACTTACTGGCCGTCCTAGTATATCAATCTGCCTTTCCAAATCCTCCAATAGGGTCACCACCTCCTCTCCATTCTCTAGCTGATGTTCCTTAACCAGAGTCTGGAGATCCTCAGGCAGGATGCTCAAGAACTGCTCCAGTACTAGCAGCTCCAGGATCTGCTCCTTGGTATTCAAATCTGGCCTCAGCCATTGATGGCAAAGTGCCCGGAGTTGGATCAGAGCTTCTCGGGGTCCTAGTGTCTCCTGGTAGCATAATTTCCTGAAGCGCAGGCGGAACAGCTCTTGGCCAGGAGGGTTATTTTCATGTATACTTGATTCCTGGTCCCAACCATGATCTTCCTCTACCTTGACAATTACGAGGTCCTCTTCCGGAGCCTGGTCTGGAGGGGATGGGGCTAAAGACTTTCTTGATTCTGCAGCCATTTAGGGTCAGAAAAGTTCAGGAGGCCTGTTTCCACTACCTTTTTAATCTTCTTAAGAGAAGAAACTTCCAAGGGCCTCTTCTTTAACGGCACTTCTTGGGGAAAATGACAAATAGTGTTAAGGCAAGTCAAAGGTCATAGTAATTTACTAAGATAACTTATCAGGCTCCCTACCATGACATGGACTTCATGGCTCAGTCATTTAAGTGTTCTTCATGGTTTCAGAAGCAACTCCTTATCTCCTAACCCTTCTGCCATGCCAAACCCATCTGAGGAATAACCCTTTCCTTCTGCTTTCTCTCTTTAGGGATGTGGAACATAGCTAAACAAAGGCAGGAAACCATGCAGGCTGGGTCTAATTGAAAGTATTTAACTTCAGCTGGCCCTCAGTGCTGCTGATTTAACTCCTTTCAGCATTTGCTACACCAGCTGTACTGTTTCTACACACTTCAGCTCTCAACTTGTCCCTCAGTCTCAACAGAAGAGACTAATTTCCATATAATCTAGCTCAAGGTATTGTCAAGAACTGTCCTGACACTTTGCTCTTCTCCACTAACATTCATTCCTACCTGTGCTCCCTATCTTCCCTCCTGTCTCAAGGCTAACTTCTACTATGGACCTTATCTCAAACTCTACAACTCGCTTTGGAGCACTGGTCCCGCATCTCCAAGGAACCCGGATGCCCTATCAACACCTACAACGCAAAAGTCTAGTCTCACACACTAATGACCTTCCAGAATGTTTTATAAATAAAATCATACAGTATGTAGCCTTTTGAGTCTGGCATCTTTCACTTAGCATAATACATTTGAGATCATCAATGCTGTTGCATGTTATCAGTATTTTATTCCTTTTATGGATGTATGTTTCCTTATCCATTCGTCAGTTGAAAAGATATCTCAGTTGTTGCGTTTTTGATGATTACAAATAAAGCCACTATGAACATCTGCATATGACTTTCTGTGTGAACATAGTTTTCATTTCATGTGGGTAAATATCCAGAAGTAAAATTGCTGGGTCATATGGTAAATGTATGTATAACTTTCTAAGAAACTGCCAAACTGTTTTTCAAAGTGGCTATAACACTTCGTATTCCACTAGCAAATATGTGAGAAGTGCAGTTGCTCCATATCTTGACCAGTATTTCTTTTTTCTAAATTTTAGATATTCTGATAGTTGTGTAGTGGTATCTCACTATGGTTTTAATTTGCATTTCCCTGACTTATAATGTTGAATCTCCTTTCATGTGCTTATTTGCCATCCACATATCTTCTCTGGTAAGGTATCTGTTCAAAACTTTTGCCTATTTTTTAATTTAGGGGTTTTTTTATTACTGAGTTTTGAGAGTTCCTTACATATTTTGGATACAAGTCCTTTATGAGATATGTGATTTGCAAATATTGCCTCCGTTTCATTCTTTTAACAGTGCCTTTCAAAGAACAGAAATTCATAATTATTTTGAAGTTTGTCAATTTTTTTCTTTAAGGGATTGTGCTTTTGGTGTCGTATCTAAGAAATCTTTGCTTAATCCAAGGCCACAAAGATTTTCTCCTGTTTTCTTTTAAAAGTTTTATACTTTTAGGTTTTACCTTTAGGTTTATGATCCATTTCGAGTTAATTTTTGTATCGAGTTTGAGGTACGGGAGGGAGGTTCATTTTGTTACATAAAGATATCAAGTTGTTCCAGAACCATGTGCAGAAATGATTACCCTTGACCCATTGAACTGTCTTTGTATCTGTCAAAAATCAATTGACCATATGTGTGTGGGTCTATTTCTGGAATCTGTATTCTGTTCCATTGACCTATATGTTTATCCTTTCACTAATACAAAACTGTCTCGATTGTTGCGGCTTTTAAAATCTTGAAATCAGGTACTAAGAGTCCTGCAACTTTGTTGTTCGTTTTCAAAATTGTTTTGGCTTTTCTAGTTCTGTTGCCTTTTGATATAAATTTTGGAACCGGCTTCTTTGTTCCTACAAAAAAATTCTGGAATTGGATTTGTGTTGAATCTACAGCTTAGTTAAGGGACAACTGATATCTTAACAATACTGAGTATTCCATTCTATAAACACGATATATTTTTCCATTTATTAGTCTTCTCTGATTTCTTTCTTTAGTGCCCAAACTACCTATTCTTAAAGGACAAAATAAAACACTTTCACCTTTAAAATCCTCTCTTGATGACTCCAATTGGAAGTGATTTCCCTCTTACTCTATACTTCTGTTACATAAATGTGTACTACTTTAATGTCACTTTTCCAATAATTGTGTATTATTAGTTGCAAAGGAGTTCTGACTTCCTAACTTAACTGTATGTTCCCCATGAGTAGAGGTCTATATGTTGCATCTTACTGATAGAACTGAAGAACATTAGAGGGCTGTTATTTACAATACCGAACACAGAATGTATCTATATTTGTTGAAGAGTAAGGTTTTCATACAAGACCTGAGGTCCAAAGAGTTCAATTACAGGGTCCTATTTCTTTGTGGGATTTACATCTATGGCTTTTATCTTTGGAATTAGACATCTCTCTTGCCTGCAGCTGCAGTATTAAGTGGTCTTCTTGCCTTTGGTTATGCTTTTCTCCCATTCATGTTCCACAAAGCTGGTGGCGTTGAATTGTGTCCCCAAAAAAGACGTGTTGAGGTCCTAACCTCTGGTACCCATGAATGCGACCTTATTTGGAATTAGGGTCATTGCAAATGTAATCAAGTTAAGATGATGTCATACTGGGCTAGAGTGGGCCCTTAATCCAATATGACTGGTGTACTTTTAAGAAGAGAAGAGACACAGAGATTGACACACACAAAGGAAAGGCCATGTGAAGACACAGGCACAGAAGAGAGCTGTGACTACAGAGATGGAGTTATGCAGCTATAAGACAAGGAATGCCACGGGGCCGGCCTCGTGGCCTAGCGGTTAAGTGCGCGCGCTCCGCTGCTGGCGGCCCGGGTTTGCAGGTTTGGATCCTGGACGCGCACCGAGGCACCGCTTGTCAGGCCATGCTGTGGCGGCGTCCCACGTAAAGTGGAGGAAGATGGGCATGGATGTTAGCCCAGGGCCAGTCTTCCTCAGCAAAAAGAGGAGGATTGGCATGGATGTTAGCTCAGGACTGATCTTCCTCACACACACACACACAAAAAAAGACAAGGAATGCCAAGGACTGCTGGTAATCAGAAGGTGGGAGAGCATGGCCCTGCCAACACCTTGGTTTTGGACTTTTGGCCTCCATAACTGTGAGAGAATAAATTTCTGTGTTAAGCCATCCAGTTTGTGGTACTTTGTTACAGTAGCCCTATGAAACTAATATACTGCCAGAGAGACTATTTTAACAAATATGTAATATGACTCACCTCCTTAAAAATCTTTCAACAGGGAACCCAACTCTTCAACATGGTATGCAAGGCCCTTCATGATATGTAAACCTGCCTAGCTTTATCTGCTATAAACTCACCTTCATACAGCATATAGCATTCAAACTCACATTTCTGAATGTGGCTTCTCATACCTCCATTCTGCTGCAGAGCTCTTTACTCTAGCTCAGTGGTTCTCAATTGGGAGCAATTTTGCCCCCCTCTCCAAGGGACATTTGACATTTGACAGCTGAGGGTAAGGGGTGCTGCTAGTAACCAGTGGGTAAAGGCCAGAGATGCTACTAAACCTCCTACAATGCATAACATAGCCCCCCAAAACAAAGAGTGATCTGGCCCAAAGTGTCAATGTCAAGGTTAATAAATCCTGGTCTAGCTGAAACCACTACACTCTAACTTAAAAGTCCCAGCTTACCTTTTTCATGAGGTCTTCTCTGTCATTCCCACCCCATAACTGCCTCTCCCCGAGCAGATTAAAGTGCTCATTCTTGCCAAGATATTTTTTACATCATCCAAATATAGGATTTATCACATTATGTAGAATACTGCAAATGTCTGCCATGGCCATGGTTTTCTTGCATATGTCTGCTTGTGGCAGTAACCTTTTCCTTTGTATCTCTTTTTAAGCAGGGAAGTTATATTATATATTTGTATGATAGATCACAATGGCAGCATTGTAGACAACGGATTGGAGAAAAATATAATTGAAGGCAGCACTGTAGAAAATCAAGACGAGCATAACCAAAGGCAAAAAGTAGTTGGCAAGAGATGCTAACACCAAGATAAAACCACAGACCTATAGCCACAAAGGGAATGAAGAGATAGGCACTCAGAAGGAAAATCAGATTACATATTGTTCCTGACATGAGTCTGCAAAGCAGTGCCTCTATCTTTCAGTTTTTTTGGGGGGAGGGGAGGTGGAGTTGGTTCATAGTCTCTTCCATCTAAGGAAAACACAGAACTTCTCCTCAGAAGGAAGCCCATAGGCACGAAAGTTTATATTCAATTTCAGTAGAGTTTATAGACCTGACACCTATCCAAGAACTCCAGGAGGGTTAAGAACCCTTACGTAGAGAGTGTGGACAGAAAAGGAAGAGAATTTGAAAACTATCTTTAAAATTAGACAAGGTGGGAACAACAGTTTGGAGTAAACTATAAGACAGGAAAAACCAAGGAGCAAGAGATAAGGTTAAACATGGTGATTAACATCAGTGGATTTAATTCACGGATGATGACTTTACAGAGAAGTGGGGGGATTTCCTGGAATAGTGAAATTTTGAAGGGAGACTGAATTTGGGCAAGAGATTGAGATTTTATGGAGGGTTTGGGACAAGGGGTAATCAATTTTGTTTTGAACAAACAAGATTAACATTCATAGTTTTAAAATAATTTATTTTAAAAATCAATTAAAATTTAATAAATTCCTAAATTTCCTCAAAATAGCTATTTACAGTTTAAAAACTTAAAAGGTCATTACTATGGAACATGAATTCTAAGCTCTAATTGTTTAGAATGTGATGCTGCATAGTCATTGTTTTACCATGTTTTCTTATGAATTTCCTTAAAGCCAAGGTTCATCTTTACTGAACAACTGGGCATCTTCTGTCTTATAATCAATCCTTGTCAATACTAGCAGTAAAATATTTCAATGTTAAGTGTGCACCAATCAAGAACTTATATTGTTGATATATTAAAATATTAAATTAATACATTAATATAAGAATAGTAAATGATAAAGTCTCAATAGTGAAACTGATGGAGGTCATCTAATTATCAGGTTTGTTCGTATTTTATATCAAACAAGCCAACAGGTCTTGTCCATTCCCCATCTTGATGATTCTTTTTAGTAGCTAATTTTCCATTTTTTAGTTTCTTCCCTCTCCAATCATACAGTTTCTGACAACTATAACCTGTAACTAACCAAACACAAAAATATGTACTACAAAATTAGTCCACTATATATCTTCCTCTCAAATAGTTTTGTGTATACACATCTGTATTAAGTAGACAAGCACCTTCTGGATAAAAACTGCTTCTTACATCCTCTTTCAAGACTACCTAGTGAAGTTTATTGATTTAGTAAGTTAAAGTAGTCAATCTTTAAAGCTTCTTCTGATCTCAAATGCTATAATCCTCTGAACGACCCAAGGCACAACTCAGCTTTTAATGGCACTATTTTTTCAACAGATAAAGAAGGAATGTTTTCTTCCTTCAGACTCAGTTTAATTTGGGATCTTCGGGAACTGAAAATAAAGCAAAAAAAGAAAGATATTTTCCAGGCTTTAAAGATCAAGAAAAGGTAGGTGAAGCAAATGCTATCTATGCTTTATTGTTATCTCAAACTGCTAAGCTGAATGTTTTAACATCCACCACGTTTTACACTTAACCACAAGAGAAGTTCCAAATACCTATGTATTTGCTAAAACAAAGATTACTGCATAAATATACTTAACTGAACTAATCAAACAAGGGAAATATGGACTGTTTTTAGAGGTGGTGGTGGCAGTCTTCATGTTGCCTGGCAAAAATTTCTCCTGAGTTTTGGAAATGGGGCCCCTCCTAAAGAGTTCCCAGGCGTCTATTTCAGTTAGCTTTAACAAACGAACTAAGTATTCTTAAGGCTGAATTCCATATTACCCTGAAGTTGTCAAAAATGTTTCTTTTGTACAGTTATCCAGCAACACACCACCATTTTCTGAATACACTACAAAGAGCAGAATAACTTAAGAGCAAAAATAGGTTTCCATGCATAGTTGGGGCTTCCAAAAGCAAAATATCTTTTCTTTTTTTAAATGACAATTTTATTTTGACAGAAACGCAAAACTGCTAAGTAAAAACAATTCAGATCGTGGAAATGGTGGGATAAAAACGCGGGGGCAGTTTCCTAACTTAAGACAGATAAGATCGACTGCAAATAACACTATAAAACGATAGCGATGAAGAAAGCGAACCCCCATAAAAGGTTCCCTCGCAAAAAGTTTGGTGACGCGGACTCGGCCTGCGCCGGCAACCAAAGCGGCCCGGGACCTTCAGAATCACGCCGGGACGCCGACCTCGGCTCAGGCCCCCTCTCCAGATCCCTCAGGCCTGTCCTCAGCTGCGGCCTGGTCTGGCCACTCAGCGCTCCCCTTCCTCCGGCCCGGAGCCACAACCGTACTCACCGTGAGTTCCAGGGGCGGCCCGGGGTGGGGAAAGGAGATGGCCAACGGTGGGCGCACCTGAGGAAGGGCAGGGAGAAAACGGGGCGACAGCGGTAACCTGACCAGGCCCCTCCAGCCCCTAACTTCCAACCCTGCGGAGGCACAACACCGACCAACACGCATCTTGCCCCCCAAAGGCACTTCCGGAAGCTCTCTAGGAATCCTGGAGGTTTGAAAGCTCTATGGTTGGCCCACTGAGGGGACGTGGGCACTACGCCCCTCACAGGCAGTACGCTGTGCACCAGATTCCTCCCGCGTCTGCGCGTCGCGGCGTTGCACGACTGCAGGGCACCGTGAACGTCCTGAGGAATAACGGCTCTTTGTGTCACCTCCGCCCCGCGCACAAGGCCCGCTCCGCTCGCTCGTTGGCGCTGGCGAGGGTAACGGTCCCCAAGGGCCGATCGGCGGGCGTGCGGAGGCCACTACTGGGAACAGGAGGAAGCTGGGAAGGCGGTGGAGGAGGGTGCACTTTTAAGGATCCTTTTGATGCTAATTAACTGGACTCGCGTTTGGCCAGGTTAGATACCCCTGTCCTTTTCTGTTCTCTCTGCATAAATAGATCCAGTCCTCCAAAATAGACTGCAAATTTCTTGAGAAATTCCTGTTAATCGTAGTTCATAGTTTATAAAATCTCCTATGGCACCTAGTAATAGTACACTTTGCACTGTTAAGTATTCAAAAAATAATTGTAATTAAATATAGATTCTTTTCGAATCTTTATATATTTTTTCACCGTTTCCTATCTTAATGAATTGCAATCTCTTATAAAACCTGCATTTGCAGCTTAGCTTTTTAATGCTAAAACTATAACAGAAGCTTCAGTAGTAGACTCTAGTTTTAATACCACAAAGTTTGGGAAACAAATCTATGTTCATTCTTTATACCCCGTTGTGTTCAAGTTTTAACTTTCAGACTAAATAGGATTTCAGCGGTGGAGGTTGTGGGAAATGTCTTTTATTTTTGTTGTTGTTTTGGTCCCACATTTTTATTCCTTCAGCACCTTTCCTAATTATCCATTTGTTCTGAGTTCTCAGGTGCCCCTCCAATCTTCACCTTAATTTCCCCTCTTTATCTGTTCCTGCTGATAGCCACCACCAATGTTTCTATCTAGTCCCCAACCCTAACCTGAAAATATTTTGTCCACCCATCAGGGCCAAATCTTAGTGGTTTTGATTTGTTTTTAAGGGTTTTGTCATCTAATCATCACAACCAAACAAGTAAATAACAATAAACACTAAGAAGTTAGATTCTAGATTCTTTCAAAGCACTTATTTTTGATCTTTATTTCATAGCTCTTGCCTCCTGGCTGGGATGGTTACTGGAGATAACTGGAGACAGACTAGAACTCTGTTCTCAGTTTCTTTTTTTACATTAAAAAAAAATATTTTTTAAAACCAAAGTTGTACACATAGGTAGTTTAGAAGTAAAATAGTGTCATGACCTAGGCAAAGATTTCTCAAAAGGCACTAATAATATAAAATTGATAAATTTGACTTCATCAACATTTAAATCTTATGCTCATCCAAAAGCACCATTAAGAAAATGAGAAGAGAAGCTACAGACTGGAAAACATTTGCAATATATATTTCTGACAACTGGTATCCAGAATACATAAGGAACTTTCACACCTTATCCATAAGAAGACAAATAAACCAACATAATAGGCAAAAGATTTGAACCCATACTTTACAAAAGAAGATACACGAATGGCCAATAAGTACATGAAAAGGTATTCAACACATTATTCATCAGGGATATATGAAATTAAAAGTACAGTGAGTTACCACTACACATCAATTAGAATGGCTAAAATTAAGATGACTGACAATACCAAGTGCTAATGAGGATATGAAGCAACTAGAGCTCTTACACACTACTAGTGGGAATGTAAAATGGTATAACTAGTTTGAAAAAATGGCAGTTTTTAATGAAGTTAAATAATGCCTGCATTATGACCCAGCAATCTCACTTCTAGGTATTACCTAAGAGATATGAAAACATAAGTCTACACAAAGAATGTTCACATCAGCTTTATTCATAATAGGCCTAAACTGGAAAAACCCAGATGTTCATCAACAGAAGAATAGAGAATCAAATAGTGTTATGTTCATACAATGGAGCACTACTCAGAAGTAAAAAGGAGCTACTGACAAATGAACAATGTGGATGAATCTCAAAATTATTATGTTGAATAAAAGTAGCCTTATATGAACATATGTTCAAGAACAAGTAAAATTATGGGCCGGCCCCCTGGCTTAGCGGTTAAGTGAGCGCGCTCCGCTACTGGCGGCCTGGGGTTCGGATCCCGGGCGTGCACCGATGCACCGCTTGTCCGGCCATGCTGAGGCCGCGTCCCACATACAGCAACTAGAAGGGTGTGCAGCTATGACGTACAACTATCTACTGGGGCTTTGGGGGAAAAATAAATAAATAAAATTATTAACAAAAAAGAAGTAAAATTAATCTGTGGTGACAAAAGACAAAAAAGTGTTTATGCTTGATTGTGGTTGTGGTTACATGGTTGCATACGTATGTAAAAATTCATTGAGCTGCACACCTGATTTATGCATTTTACTAATAAAAATAAATTTTAAAAAAGTAATTAAAATTAAATAGTACTCTCAAGTTTATGGTGTGAAAAACACCAGACCTCATTCCTCCCGTCCCTACCAATAACTGTTCCCCAGAGACAACCACATTAACTCTTTCCTTTTTTGTTATTAACCTCTCTGTTTATAAATAACATGCTAACACTGCTATTTCTTGATTTTTCATGTATAGATATATAATCTATTGACTTCTTACTACAGAAAATAAACATTTAACCCTTTTAAACCACTACTAGGATTAGCCACACCAGGAATTAGAGGACACATTTTAAACTTCCTCAAGTTGCTAGGTCCAACAACAATGGCAGCTCCACCAAAGCACACAAAAAAGTTATACTCTGGTTACTGGTACCTTCTCTGTTTGTTTAAGCAGGGGACATGCTTCTAATAAGACTCCAAATATTTTCCATACCTAGGGCCTCAAAGGTGTTCCCAGATTCTCCTCAGTTGCTCTGCATTTTAGCTTCAGAAGGACTGCTTCATATATAGTATATGGACTAGCACAGTAATTCTCAAATATTTTGGTCATGACTCCTTTTATACTCTTAAAAACTAGTAAGGACCCCAGAGAGCTTATGTTTATGTGGGTCATATCTATTGAGATTTGCTGTGTTTGGGAAATTAAAACTGAGGAATTAAAAAATATTTATTTTTTAAAATAACAATAACAAACCCATTACATGTTAAGTAACATATTTTAAGAAATTTAACTATATTTTCCAAAACAAAGTTAGTGAAAGGAGTGGAATTATTTTACATTTTTGCAAATCTTTAATGTCTGTCTCAATAGAAGGTGGCTGGATTCTCATATCTGCTTCTTCATTCAGTATCACACTTTTGCTCACACTTTCCCCACTTCTAGAAGTGTACCATCACCTACTTTCCACATACCTAAACCCTGTCCATCCTTCAGGGTCTTGCTGAAATTTCACTTTAATCAGAAAGCCTTCTCTAAGAATCTAAAAGTGGGGTGTGTAAAAATGAGACAATAGGAGAGAGGGTGGTAAAGAGGAACGAACATGGCTTGTTTTAAGTTCAAGTTGGAAGAGTAACATATATATCTACTTCCTCTCCCTCCCAAGAACCTACTTAAATGATTGAAAAACTAAAAAATAGATAAATACATAAATAAAAGTGCTAGAAAACAAAGAGTGGTCCAGAAATTTCGAGGACTTTCTGGAAAAGAATAAGTAATTGGGATTGGATTGTTGGAGAAGCAGAGGTAATTGCCCTGCAAGACACCAGGGCCAGGTGTACTTCATCACAGGAACCCTGGAGAAGTTCTAACCTCAGGATCAGTAGTTGCAAAGGGCAAAAGTGGGTCATTCATTTAATAACTGCATTTGGGACAGTTGGATATCTCCCCTTTCCCACTGGTATCTCTGGGGCTTCTGTCCTCTAGCTATAGCTTGCAACTTTCGCCCTGTTTGGCCTTTCTAAAACAAGTGGGAGGGCTCTTAATAAGGAAACTGAGGTGTAACAAAGAAGCATAGCAAAATTTGAGATTCCTCTACAATGGAACAAAGAGGAGGAAAAATAAAGACAGCACTGCCTAGGAGTGAAGTACATTGAAGCTCTCTACCCCAGAGAAGGTCGTTCTCATTTTTGGTAATTGTGTAGATCCCCAAGCCTATCTGCTTGCTCCCTGTTCACTCACTCTAAAAGAAGGCCTGCCTGTAGCCTTCCAGCTCCGGAAGCAGCCTCCTACAACTACAGTGGAAATTCACACTACCTAAATTAACCAGCACAGGACTCCATTTCTAAATATGAACAGGCGCCAAGCATCAGAAAACATTTAATGAGGGCCGGCTCTGTGGCTTAGCGGTTAAGTGCGCGCGCTCTGATGCTGGCGGCCTGGGTTCGCATCCCGAGGCACCACTTCTCCGTACAACGCGAGGCCGAGTCCCACGTACAGCAACTAGAAGGATGTGAACCTATGACATACAGCTATCTACTGCGGCTTTGGGGGGAAAAAAATGAATAAATAAAATCTTTAAAAAAAAAAAAGAAAACATTTAATGAAAATCATGAGCAGAGCATGAAAGAAAAACGATAAGAGTAACAAAGAGATCTGACCTGCAGAAGAAATAGAGACAATTCAGGGAACAGAAAAAAATTTTAAATAGACGAGTTGGGGAATGAATGCTGAAGACCTGCTTGGCAGATTGCTTCTAGGTAAATGAGTATGTAAGTATTTAATCTTCATGCTGCTCTAAACATAGAAATGATGGATTAATACATACAAGGAAAAAAAAGACACACATAGGTTGAAATACTCTATAGATCTCTATCATTCAGAAACAGAATAAAAATGCAAAACAGTGAGCAGGGCCAATGTTCCAAGCTTGAGGGATAGGCCTGCTGGGCTAGGGAGGCCACAGGGCACAGGCCCAGCTTTGTAGCTAGGAGCTGAGTCAAGTCATCTACTTGATTTGAGACTGGTGTTGCCATATCCCCGATATTACTGCAGAGTGGCGACTCTAAACTGTTATTATGAGACCTGGCTTTGATCTGGGGGGCCCAGTGGGCCAGATGGAAGCAGCTTTAAATCAAATGCAGGATGGGAGGTGGTAGTGGGTAGAGAGAGGAAGGGAAGGTGCATAGGTGTATATCTTGATGCAAAGTCTGATAAAAGTTTAAGATAGGGATTGACAAGAGGGGAAAGAAGCTAGAAACAAGGAAGAGCCTATTCCACTGATAACAGCTTCAAATGGAAGGTAGGGGGAAGACTGGGTCCATGGAGGTTGTTTGGGAAGTACTATATAGGGTTGATGAGCCAGAGAGTTAGGCAAACATGAGTGACAAAGGGCAAGGGAAAGAATCTCAGGAAAGTAAAGCAAAGAACCAAAAGAATAGACAGAATACAGGTAGGGTGACAGCAGGTGGGATGGTGGGGGGGCACCTATTGGGATTAATTGTGGAGTGAGTAGGGAGTGGTTAAAGGCCACGAATGGGTGAGAGGAAATGCGAAGATTCTATAAGCCCAACTAAACTATACAACAAGAAGCAGATACTCTGAGGATGACACTTCCCAAACATGGCAATGGCACCTTGGCTTACTCAGGGGAACTGGGATTCTGATGTGAGCTGTGTAATCCCATGCCATTTGGTCCAAGTGGATATAACAAGCATATTCTGTTTGATTTCAGCATGAAAAATATACACCAATTCAAGGACTATAAGAAGAGGGCCTATGTTAGCAGGAAAAATGAGAGGATTTCTCTTTTAACCACTTTCAGTTGGGCTTTTTTGTATAGGATGGTTCTGAGAAGAGCTCTAAAATGAGAAGGAATACAATAATCAAATAGATTAATTATAATTGACAAACATAAAAGGAGATGGGGAGGTACAGTTAAGTAACATCATTATTTCTGCTGTAGGTTTTGTAGATACCCCTTATCAGACTAAGAATTCTCCTTCAATTACCTAATTTGCTAACTTTTAAAATTATGAATGGATGTTAAATTTTATCAAACACTTTTTCTAAAGGTATTGAACGTTCGTATTATTTTTCTCCTTTAACATGTTAGTGTGAATTACACTGATTGTCTAATGTTAAGCCAACCTTGCATTCCAACTTGGTTATGATGTATGTCATCCTTCCAATATATGGGATTCAATTCAATATTTGGTATAGGACTTTTGTAACTATGTTCATGAATGAGACTGTCAGAGTCAGGTTTGGAATCAAAGATACGCTAGCCTCATAAAATGAGTGGAGTGCAACCTTATCTTTGTTGTCTGGAAAGGATTATATAAGATAGGTATTATTTATTCCTTGAATGTTTGGTAGAACTGTCCAGTGAAACCATCTGGACCTGGAATTTTCCTTCTCCTTATTAAATTCAACTCTCCATGCAAACACCATTGGATGTTATTAACAATGTCACCAATTTCCAAGTTATGCAGTCTTGAGAGGCTTCCTTGATTTACCTTGATGAAATATGGAGATAAAGGAGAAGTCATCAGAGCCAGCAGATTTCTCCTTTGAAATGTTGCTCTTTTCCATTAATATAACCAGCATACTCGGTTTTAATTACCTCATACCTACATGATTGCAGCCTTGAGATAATCTTCCTAACTCTAGTCCATCCCAGATATGGTTACTAGATTCATGTTCTTTAAATATCATTACCTTTTCCCCCATCACTGACTCTAAGTGGCTCATTATCTTTTATTAAAACAAATGTAAACTTCTCTGTATGACTTGTATTTTTTATTATATTTTTAAAAATTAGAATAAAACATGATAAACATTAGAATCTAGATGTATATAAAGTAAAAAAAACCTGACATCTTCTTTACCCCCAAATGTTATTACTTAAGAGTGTTGAGAAACAATTCCCCAAGGATCTCTCACATTTCTCCAAGTCTTCTGTCAGATTTTCTTTCAGATTATCTTTTCAAAGATGTTTGTATCTCTTTTTGGAGATTTGTTTCCCTACCAGGATAAAGATAATGTCTCACTCTGGACAAAGGTTGGGCAAAGATTGGGTTTTCCTAAACTTGGGGTTCCTCTGCTAGGATGCAAACCCATTGTGTGAGCAGCATTCACCTGGGCCCCTCTATATCACCCTTGTAGGCTTTGAGGACAAGGGGAACATGAAGCTCATGATGCTTGTGTCATTAAATAAAGTCCTTTGTCTCTAACACAGGAGTCTAGTGACTTTTGCCAGTATCCGTGAAACTGTGGCAAGTTAAATTGTTAGCTTGTAAATACGATAAAGTCTTCACAATTCTTTTTTTCTTTTTGCTGAGTAAGAATAGTTTTTGTGTTACCTCCCATTTGTCTCTCTCTCTTTTTTTTTTTTTTTTTTGCTTCAGGAAGATTAGCCCTGAGCTAACATCTATACCACTTGTACGTGGGTCGCCACCACAGCGTGGCTGATGAGTGGTGTAGGTCCACGTCTGGGAACTGAATGTGCAAACCTGGGCCACTGAAGTGGAGCATGTGGAACTTAACTACTATGCCATGGGGCCGGCCTCCACATTCTTAATATGGGGTAATCACTGTTAAGTTTGGAGTGCATCCTTTTCCCTTACATGCACAAGCACCACACGTAATTACTCACATCTTTATATACAAACATAGTTTTCTTCTAAGAAAAATGGAATATATATTGTCCTGACACTGCTTTTTTCAATGAAAATTTATCACTTTAATGGCTGAATAGTATTCCATAATAGGACATGGTATATGTAATTAATTATTCCCCTATTGATAGACACTTAGATTTTTTTCTTTCCTTCTACCATTAGCAATCTTGTCTGCCTTTTACTGCCCTCTAGAATGACCCTCTCCCTTTCCCATAATCACTGTCACATTTCCCCAGTACTCTCAAGTCAAAAGACTTGTCTCATTGCTCCCTACTTAATATAAACACTGGTCTCTTATTCTAATAACAGGCGTCTCTCTCTTCTCAGGATTTTATCATTCTATTTAGCACTCATCACATTCTGTGTTACATTACTTGCTATTGTTACATTTGGTCTTCAAATAGACTATAAGCTTCCTTAGCTTAGGTGTCTAGTATTTATTCTGAGATCTCCCTCCCACTTCCAGTACTTGGTGGCCCTTGAAATATGCAATGTGCCATACATTTCTGACAGCAAAAGTGGTTTGACTTGTTTTGTCAACTAGCTAAATTTAGTCAATTTGGTTCACATTCCCACTGCTGTTCTTTAATTCCTTCCCCCTAGATCTGTCCTCATTCATCCAAGTAAGTACTTATCAAGAGCCTACCCCTTTTAGGTGCCAAGTGAAGGGAAAGTGCTGGGATGAGCACCTATATGGAGTTCACAATGATTGTCAATCTTTTGCATACTTTGTGGTTTCTCCCTTACTCAAGTCCTACACTTTACTTGTCTTCACAGGAGCTACAGAAAAGCCACAGTTGGTAAATTAGTCCCATTTGTCTGACATGAATGAGAGTGAGAGACACGGAGAAGGGGAGGGAAACGTCTAAAGGCTAAGTTTTCTACATGCACTCACATTTAATCGTCACAACCCAAGAAACAGGCACTATATTATTATCCTGATTTACACAAACGAGGGAACCGAGGTTTATAGAGGTTAGAAAAAATTGCCCTCGGTCTTAATTGGAGAGTGGGCGAGCCAGAATTTGAACCCACGTTTAAAGGATTCCAGCGCCGGTACTCTTCGCCCATTTCACTGTGGGCCCACATTTTCCCTAAGGATCAGAGAAGTTGAAGCAGAGGCCAATTTTCGTCTCCCTTCGTCCACAAAGTTCTGCCAGATCACAGTGAGCAGGGCACCGGCAGGCATAGTCTGCGAAACCCTCCTTTCCCCGGCTGCGGTCGCTTGGGGTCTCTTCTAAGGCGGCAGCTAGATGCGACCGAGCCTCCACCCGGAGGCCCCTGAGGCTCCGCCCACTTCGGGCCTGGGCCCGCTGGACCCGCGCTCTAGGAACCGCAGACTGGAGTTGACAGCTGTGGGGAGGGCCCGGATAGGAAGCTGCGGGCCGCGGCAGACCCCTGTCCCCAAAGTCACTTTCGGCCTCTGGTGGAATCCTGGAGGTTTCCACAGCTCCACGGTTGGTCGACTTTGCGGGAATGCCCTTGTCACTGGCAACCACGTCCAAACAGCTGCCGGGAAATGCGCTCCCGGGTCCCCCCAAACAGGTCTCCTCTTTCTCCGCATGGGGGCGCGGGGCCTCTTTCCGGGCGGGAACCCCAGTGTTTCTAGACCAGGGAAAGACCAGCACCCTTTTCCAGAGCTCTCGCCACTCCCAGCCACTTCCGGCCGCTAACGGTTCCAGAGCGCCGCGGGCTGGGGAGGGGGATGCGGCCCGAGGCTGTAACGGCGTGGGGAGCTGAGCCCGGAGCCAGGCGCTGGGCACGGTCGGGAGAAGGGCTGGCGGGTGAGTGTCGGAGAGAGGGCGACGGAGTGGTGGACAGGCGGGACCTCCGGGTTGCACTGGGGTTCGGTATTTAGGGAGCAGTTTAGAATTATAATAATTGTTAACATTACGGGTATTATTTTAAAACACACAACAGCAACAACACAGTGAATTCATGAAGATCAAATATCAGTTAAATGACTTAAACAGCTTTGAGGGAAAGAAAATGCTGAACACGATGCTAGGGAAAGAAAATGCTGAACACGATGCTAAGGAAAAGACCTAACAGCGCTAATGGTAGCGGCTAATACTGTTTGCCAAGCACCTCTCGGACCTAACCTTATACCATGTTCCCCTTAACCCAGTGCTTGAGACACAATGACCTTCTTTCAGTTCCTGTAACACATCAGATTCATTCCTACTGTAAACACTGCATTAGCTGTTCCCTTTGCATAGTCTCTGCAGAACTTCCCAAAGCTGGACATTTATATTTCATTTAGAGCATCAGCTCCCCAGAAAAGCCTTTTCTGACTACTTAGTCTTTCAGTTACTGTTTCATTTCACTTCATTGTTTATATTCTACATACCACTTACTCCTATTTGATATTTGTCTTGTTTGTCTCCCTTTATAATGTAGGCTTATAAGGGCAGAGATCTTATCTTGTTCCCTGCTATATTCCCAGTACCTAGAAGAGGGGATTTACATGTAGCGTGCACTCAATAAATACCTATTGAATGAACGAATAGGAAGAATTAGGTAAAAAGTCATTGATATCATAGAACTTAGCCTCACAGAATTGAGGTGGTTTGGAACATAGAGAATGGGACCTACTCTGAGGGTGAGAAGATCTCGATCAGTGCTGTTCATTAAATAGGAATATAATGTGATCAACTTACATAATTCTAAGTTTTCTAATAGCCACATTAAAAAGTAAAAAGATGAAATTAATTTTAATATGTTTAAGCCAGCATATCTAAAATATTATTTTAACATCTAATCAATATAAAATTATTAATAAAATATTTTACATTCCTTTTTTCATACTAAGTCTGAGAGCTGGTGTGTTTATACTTATTGCATGTCTCAATTCAGATATTAAATTTTCATTGAAAATACTTGACTATATTGAGATTACATAAAATTTAAAATGGAAAAAGTAGATTTACATGTCCAAATTACTCCAAACATACTTAAAGGTTTTCCAATAACTGGATTATCAGTTTTTAAAATTAAAATTAAATAAAATTAAAAATTTAGTTCCTCAATTGCATAGCCGCCTTTCAAGTGCTCAATAGCCACATGTACCTGGTGCCTACTGAACTGGACAGTGCAGATTTAGATCAAGGATAGTGTCTATTCACGGATGGGTCTAGGGGAAAAGGAGAGGGTAGCACCAGAAGTATGGCATGGAGGGAAGAGGAAGGTCTAAAAAAATGCACTGTAAGCTCTTTATGCAAGTCACATTTGAGGACAGATTCCTCTGATCCTCAAAAGTAAGTGAGGTCTGGCTTCCTAAAGTAGACTACTTCTCTAGCATAATTGCTGCACGATCTGGAAATCATTTTGTGCGGTAGGAAAAGGGTCTAGCAGTGCTGGTCATATGTGCCATTTCTAAGTAGAATCTTATTGTATAGATTGTGGAACAGTCATGGAAATCAGATTATTTTCCTATAGAGCAGTGGTTCTCAACTGGGAGTGATTTTACCCTCAGGGGACATGTGTGTGTGTGTGTGTGTGTGTGTCAGGCTTAAGAAGTTTTTGCTTGTCACAAGTGGGGGGTGGTAGTGGCATTTAGTGGGTAGAGGCCAGCGATACTGCTAAACATCCTACAATGCAGAGGACAGCTCCTCACAACAAGGAACTGTCTGGCCAAAAATGTCAATAGAACCACGGTTGAGAAAACATGCTGTGGAGGATTTGAGTAAGAAAGACTGAGATAGCTATTCTTTTAGAACCTCAGTTTAACTCCCTTGTGATAGGACTAAGGGGAGGACAAGTTGTTCTGAAACAGTGCAGCACTAGTTGTGTTTTCACTGTTGATGGACTTTTTGATTAGACAATAAAGAAATAATTTTAGGCACAGGATGAGAATGTAGACCCATTCAATAAAGATAACAAAAATAATATGTGCTGTGTACAACGTATCTTGGGATAAGGAGCTGATCTGTTCACCTTTGTATGGCTTGTATCATATGACCCAACTGTCTCAAATATGATTGATGTGATATATTAGAATTACTGGTCACTCTCCTCTTTCCCTGTCACCATCTCTTATTTTATCTTTGTTCCTTTCCCTATATCCTTGTTCCTTTTTATTAATTTCTTATCCTTCCATTTTTCTTCTATCTTGTTTTCCCCCTCTTCACCAATACCCACACATACCTCCTATGTCCCTTCCTCCCCAACACTCATGCATTTCCTCCTTTCATAGCTGTAGGCTATGAATCACCATTCACCATTATCCCCCATCTGTGTCTGAGAGCTGCCCCTTTCAATCACTCTGTCCCGTTAGATCATAAAAAGTACAAACAGCAAATTCTTACCGACAAAAAAAAAAAAAAAAAAAAAAAAAAAAAAACCATCAAAAAAGGTGGCAGGAGAAATGCATATGTTTCAGACACAACTATTTGAGACACTGCCTTCCATGTTCAGGGTTCTTTTAGAGCAGGTGCTGTCATTCCAGGATGTCTCTCTGCTAGAACCCATTGGTTCTGATGATAATATCTAACATATTACATCTTCGCTTCCAGTAACTGGCTGTGACTGAACTCAGAGCTCTTCTTTTCAACTGGATGCATCTTCACCAGTTTTTCCTGTGGGTTTCTACAGACTTACTGGTACATTGCCTGCTTCTTCATAGTACTAGCAGGTACTTAGATCTTCTTTAATCTCATGCGTCCTTTGCCTTATGCTTGTAGTTATCCCAGGTCCCACTGGACTTTCTTCTGTCTACACCACTCCAGGCTGTCTCTGGCCCCATATCTTTCTGTACCTCCCTGACTTTTATCATTGCCCCTCTAGTCAACATCAGATGGTAGACACTGTGGTGGCAATTTGGAATCAACACCAAACCTAAAAAGGGTAGCGTGGTCTCAGTGCTCCAAACTACTCTTCACTCAGGCTTTGAGGGTGTACGGCTAACTCTAAGACTAGAACAATTCTTTGTACAAAACAGGTATTCAGAACTACTATCTGAATAGAATGTTGTCGTACAGAGGATGATAGAAGAAAACCAGTCTGTCATGTCTTCACCAATTTTAGGAAACCTAATCTTGTGGTAGCCAAGATCACCTTTCTTACCATTGCAGAAGCCTCTCTAAATTCAAGGAAGGACAAGATCAGAAACATGAGTTTCCCCTTTAAAGATTGTGAACAGCTTCTATGTAGGACGGTGTTTCTCAGCTAGACTAAAGGTAAAGGGTGAAAAGATATCATTCACTAAGCACCTTGCTTTATTTTTTAAAGAATGATGTTTCTAATACTGAAGATTTAATACGTTACTTTTCTCTTCATGACCATTAAAACATCTTTTATCTCAAATGCTGTGAAATATTGTTCAGATAATTATAAACCACAAAAACAAGTGTGAAACTTGCTATTTTAAAAATTTGTATCAGTTGATGTAAACATTCAAAGTAAACACATCTTTTTTCTTAAAGAGCATTATTTTCAAAAGACATAAAAGTTCAGTTTATCTTTATGGTGTTATGAGAAATGATTTAAGATTCATCTTCCAATAGTAGTAGATACAAAAATGATTCTGCTGGTTTTCCTACTCTCAAACACAATGCAAAAGTAAGGATGTGTAATTAATTTCTTCAATAAGAGATTAGATCACTTCCTGATCATTTTGGTGATGGCTGTTCCTAGAACCAGTGGTTCATGGCAATTTGATGGTGGTGTAAATTTGAATGTGTTGGGCCTTTGGCCACAATTCCTGTCATGCTATAAAATTCTCAAACTAGGGATGTAAAACTGTTGCAAATACATGAAATGCTACGGGATGTAAAACTGCTGCAAATTATGAAATGCTAGTATATTCCTAAGCCAAAAAGGAAAAAAATTGGATTGTTCACTATCTTAAAGTATTGGTGCCCTGAGAGTCCCAGTTTCTCATTACTATAGGGTATCTGACAGGGGATGCTACCTTATAAAGGTAATTACACTCTTTTTATAGAGATGAGGTAGTAATTTAAGCTTTCAATTTAGATTATTAGGTTATTGTGTTTACTTAATAATCATATTCCTCCAATTATAATACACTTCTTTTTTAAGGCTGAAAAAGTGCCATAAATTTATTATTAAGAAATTGTTTTCTTTTAGGGTGTTTGTATTTTATCTCCTGTTGCTATTGCAGCCTCCTCAGGTGTCTCTTTTGTTATCTTCATGAACTCAGAATCACACAATATCAAAGCTGGAAGGTACCTTATCAGTGATCAATTTGGATAGCAATGTCCTTTAGAACTTAATGCAATGATAAAAATGGTCTATATCTGTGCTGTCCAATACAGTAGCTACTAGCCACCTGTGGCTACTGAGCACCTGAAACATGGCTAATGTCATTAAGGAACGGAATGACAGTGCAGTTCTAGACCAACCACTCCCCATCTCCCTCAGTTTACAATGACCTGAGACTCAGAAGAAAAGTGATTTATCCAAAGTTACAAATCCCTAACACACTCTCTTATCCCCCTTCCCAGCAGCTCCTACTGATCACTTACTGCTTTCCTTTCCACTTTAATGTTTTCCTTAGTCTGCTATCTGATGGTTTCCTCTTTTTTATCATTGGCAAACAAAAAAATTCCACAAAATGATATACCCCCTACTTTAAGATAAAACACAGATAAATATTTAGGCCATTTTATCAGTAATGATGGAAAACAAATACTTTTATCTCTTAATTTTCATCTATTTTAACTTAACACAACACACCTGGTGAGCCTCTATTATATCATCTGCACTTTACAGAAGGGGAAAATGAAGGCAGAGAAAAATTTGAATATCTTGCCTAAAGTCACACACTGAATGGTCAAGTAAAAAGGAGCCAGAGCCGAGAGGTAGAATTTATTGTCTTTCAACCAGGACACATGGTTATCTTAGGCTGCAAGTGAGCAGTGTTATCAATGGACAAGGCTTTCTGAAATAACTATTAATTCTTCCCAAGAAACTGAACTAATTTAGAAATAAAAGGAGGGCTGGCCCCGTGGCTTGGTTAAGTGCGCACGCTCCGCTGCTGGCGGCCCCGGTTTGGATCCCGGGCACGCACCGACGCACCGCTTCTCCGGCCATGCTGAGGCCGCGTCCCACATACAGCAACTAGAGGGATGTGCGGCTATGACATACAGCTATCTACTGGGGCTTTGGGGGGAAGATGGATAAATAAATAAAATCTTTAAAAAAAAAAAAAGAAATAAAAGGAAATTTTATTCAGGTAGATTCTCTGGTGCCAGAGAAGTTTTTAATGATGACTGAAGCTTTGCCTACATTCAGGATACTCATAAGGTCTCTAAGGTAAATTGATAACTAATTAGGCCTGAGAGTCTAAAGAACTTACTTCCACCATATTAGTAGAGCTTATTTGCTGTATGAATTCTTTGATGTCTAATTAGGGCTGAACTTACTCGGAACGGCCTCCCACACTCATCACATTCATAGGGTTTTTCACCTGTGTGGATTCTCTGATGCTGAATAAGACCTGTGCGCCCACTAAAATCTTTCCCACATTCTTTGCATTTATAGGGTTTCACTCCAGTGTGTACTCTATGATGTCCAATGAGATGTGAGCGTTGAATGAAGGCTTTTCCACATTCATCACATTTATAAGGCTTCTCTCCAGTGTGAGTTCTCCTGTGTTTACTAAGGTCTGAGCTATGACTGAAACTTTTCCCACAGTCATCACATTTATAGCGTCTTCTTTCCCTCTGTTGCCACTCTAATCTGCCTTCACTTTCAGTAGCATCTTCAGATTCAGGGTACTGAGAAATGTCTTTGTTGAGCCTGTCATTTATCTTCCCAAGGAATTCCATGTCTTTGGGCATATCTTCCTTTTGAGACAACTCTTCATTCTTAGTCCTGGTTTTATCACCTGTAACAAACAAACAGTACACAAACAGGTCCTATTCTAGGTTTGAGAAGCAAAAAGCCTATGGAAGAGAGAACATGTAAATGTTATAAATGTGTTATAAAAAAATGAAAAGTCATTTTCATGTCAAATATATATTGACATGTCAAAAAATATATCATGTCAAAATATATATTGACAATATAGGGAAGAAATTAAGAAGAGGCCAGTGAGGAAGATAGCAGCAACACTATTTGGGAATATATTAAGAAGAGAGGAAAAGGCAAAAATGTGGATCCAGGGGTTACCTGGCAATCCTGTGCAAAGGCAGAGTGGTAAATGGTAAATGGGGACTATAGATATGCCAAGGATAATTAAGAGGGATAAACAGAGAGATTAGAGAATAGAGATGAGGAGGAAGGTAAAAGTTTGGAGGGAACATGCAGGGGCCTGAAACATAGGTGGTAAGTGGGAGTAAAAGTAACTGGAGAAGATAACGGGATTAGGGAATCTGAGAGGAATGTAATGAGTAGGAACCATCAAAGGAGGGAAGTGTGTATGAAGAAGAATAATTAGCTAAAAGCAGAATGAGAGCATGCAGATCAGGGTAAATGGAAGGAGGAAGTTAAGCAGGAAGTGTCAGTGAATGGTCTGGTGTATGTGCTGGGTTGCATCCTTTTTTCCGAAACTGACGTCGTCGCTATCATCTCCTCCTGCCTAAACCCTAGCTTGGTGGTTCTCATACTTTATTGTGCATCAGAATCACCTGAATGGCTTATTAAAACACAAATTGCTGGGCTCCCCATCCCCAGAGCTTCTGATTTGGTAAGGCTGGAGTAGAGCCTAAGAATTTGCATTTATAACAAGTTTCCTGGTGTGATAGACACAGCTGGTCCAGGGACCACACTCTGAGAACCACTGGCCTAGCTGTTACTCCAGATCCATCTCAAACGCTGTCTCCTCCAGTATCCCTAGTCTCCCAAACTGGATGTGCTCTCTCCCTCTTGACATCCCTCTTGAGGATCCCCAGGTCCTCAACACCAAGCTTAGCATAGAACTTGGCACAGAGCAAGTCCTCAATAAATATTTGTTGAGTTGAATTCTATAAGAAAACAGCTGTTTTGGTGATTTTGAGGGGGTAAAAAGGTGTCACCTATTGGCGTGCTGAAACCACCATCTCAACAGACCTAGGAATCCCAACTGTGCAATAATCATTTAATTAGAGATAGTTTTCAGTGGTTCACTTGGCATGACGGAAGAAGCAGCAAGAGGCAGCAGAACATTTCACTGCCTGGGCTAGGTATGGAAAACACTGGCTCTGGCCTAGCTGAGTGCCATGATTTCATTCTTCATTGTCATCTCCATGTCCCCTTCCTACCAAATCTTCCTCAATTACCTTCCTCCTTACAAACACTTTTTTATCAGGCAACAGACTTTCTCAAAGTTTGGCTATTTGCTCTAAGATGACATTGTTTTGGAATCCTAAATGCCACATTATCTCTGGCTAGAAATTACAAGGACTAGAGCCAGAACATCCAGATTCCAGTCCTGGGCCTGCTGATAATTTTTATATTTTGGCAGATGATAACCATTTTGGTTTCCTTATCACCTCTGTGCCCTCCTCCTTGCCTCTGTTTGATGTGATGAAGGAATGTATGATAAAGCATTTGTAAAAGCACAATGTGTGACCCGAGTATTGCTAAGTTAGTAGGGTAGTAATCATCAAGCAAACTATGGAAATCAGAAGCACCCCATACCATTAAGAAGTGTTCTCAAAGATCAACATAATTGGCTCAACAGCTTCTTTTTACATACTGGAGTCACTGCTGGTTGGCTTTCCTGTGGCTTATTGATGATGATGAATAAAAATAAAAAAAAGAAGAAGACAAAGAGTTGGCACCAATGCTCATTTCACTGCTTTCACGGTCCTCAAGATGAGTCTCTCTCCCATAACTTAAGGAGAAATCTGGAGAAAAATCTCTCACCAGGACTTCAAAAGACATTTTTTAAAAATATAGGGTCGGTTTTCCTTGGTCAGCAGTTCAAATTATAACTTTCTTCCTTAGATTTGCGATTGAACAATGTAAAGAGTATTGTATGGAAACTGTCAAATGTGACCTTTTCTCATCTCAGGGCCTGCAGTCTACTTCTTGGCCAACTGGAGTTTCAGGGCCTTGTTTATGTATCTCTTCCGAGTGCCAGCTAGTCCCAGGCTAATAGGATTCCAAGAGACCTCGTTTCAGAACTGACAAAATTAGGAATATTTGGTTCTAGCATCTTCTGCCAGAGCTGTTCTTCCAATGTTATTTTGGCACATGTAACACCAAGGGTCCTTATCAGTTACAATTCCAGATAAGTCCAGCCCTGCTGGTCACTGAGATGAGGATAAGTCCACAAAGACCGTTTGATTACCATGTGTACGACATGCTTGACAGTCTAAGGGGAGAAAGGACAAGGTTAAATGATGAATGAAGTGAAACTGGAACAGAGTTAGGGGGACAATCACTTATTGCTAATGGAGAGAGTCAGTGTTGTGGGTTAAGAGCATATCCAAAAAGTTCTCTTTGAAATACTTCAAAATGTTACAAAGAATCGCAAGATACTCAGCTCTCCAAGTTCTTCTGTCATATGTAAAGATAATTCTGTATTAAGTGACTACTATTGTAATTCCCAGTTATATTTATAAAGACGAGTCCCATGACCCTAGCCAACAGCTAATACTAGCATGATCTTGCTGGTACGGATACAATGAATTTTTTTAAACAAGAAATACTGCATAAAAAACAGACTCTCTGTTTAACAATAAACTTATTTTAAAAAGATATTGGCTTTTTGGTACATTATCATGATGGCTTTTAAAAACTGTTCTGGAATAGCAGGCAGGAGTGCCAGGTTCTGATTGTAATCTCAGCTCTGCCTCTAACTCCTTATGGAGACTTGGACAAGTCACAGCCACTGTGGGTATATTTCTTCAACTGTAAAATGAGGATTTGGACCAGATATTACACACTTTTAATAAAGTTGAGAGGTACTTTTTGAAATGTATGTGTTGTGATTTCTGCAGGGTTTTTGGGGGGTGGTGGTGGTGGTAGTGTTTTGGTGGGTTTTGTTTGTTTTTTGCTTGTCTATTTCTTTGGTGTGGAGTGTGGTGGTGGGGACACAGATAAAAATTATGTAAGGTTGCTGGTGGTGTACTTTAGAAAAAAGTCCTATTTATATGGTTCAATGTAGACAAAATGGACTTCCCTAAGAATTCTCAGGGCTCACAGGATAGTTAGATTCATTAAGCATCTTTCAGTAGATTAGATTAAGAAAAGACAATTCATATTTTAACTGTATACTATTCCCTTGAAAAGCTATTTTGGTAGCAGCACATGTGTAAGCCTGTACAATTTTAGGTATACGAAGTGTGCATTTTTCTGGACTTATGCTAACAGGAAACAGAGTGAAAGTAGTCCAGAAGTATTTATAAAAAAACAAGGAAAGACCATCTAGAATTTAAAGTGTTGCACAGACAAACCATTAGTCGTAATCAATAATTCTGTGTTCTACATGGTAGAATTAATTTAGCACATTGACATGTTAAATTATTGTGACCTATTTTATGAGTCTATGTCCTGTCTCCTCCCAAAGGTGGGGAGGGAAATTTCTTATTTTATGCCTCCTCACAGAAAAGAGGTGAAGGCTACACATAGTTAAGCTTACTAAAGCTTATTAAAATGGTCTGCATCTTTTAGCTTCTGCCTCAAACTATTCTTGCTAAGACTACCATTAACTTCTAAATGCCAAATTCAATGGACTCTTATCAGTCTTTATCTTGTGTCCTATTAGTAGCATTGGCTACAGCTGACTCCTCCCTTGTCTTCAGTGACACCACCCTCTTTTGCCTCACTTACCTCTCTGACAGTCCCTGCTCTGTTTCCTTAGAGAATCCTCTTCTTCCACCCAAACTTCAAATGGTGACATGCCTCAAAATTTTGCATGTGGCTCTCTTCTCTTTTTACTTTATACATTCTTCTTGGTCAACCCATCTACACCCATGTCTTCTACCATCTACCCAGGGATGACTCCCAAATCTCTTATCTCCTCCCACACCTTTCTCCTATATCTAGAACCATATTTTAAACTGCATTGCCTGCTGGATTTTATTTACTTGGATGTTTCACAGGCACTGCAAATTCACATGTATAAAAATTGAATTCACTCTAACTCTTCTTACACACAGATACATCCCCCTTCTCATATTCCTCTCAATTACTGACACCATTATCTACCAAGTTGCCCAAGCCATAAACTTGGATTGTGTTAATATATCCCCCCCAATATCCAATCAGATCTGTGCATTCTACTTACTAAATATCTCTTGAATTTTCCCCTTCCTTTCTGTCCAGCCTATTCCCACTCTGGTTCACCAACCTCTATAGTTGAGAGTGGTCTCCCCCAACCTCCCTTGTGTTTATATCTTTTCTCCCTCCTATAGTTGTGTGCTCATTCACTTACAGACTTTGGAAAATAGAGAAGAAAAAAATAAGTCACCTGTGATTTCATTATTTTGAAATAACTTTTCTACATTTGGAGATAATCCTTCCAATCTTTTTCTTTTAACAAAATGGAATTATGGACAGTGATTTTTACAAATCTGTGTCACCCACTCCTCTATTTAAAACCCACAGCTTCATCTGATAGCATGAAGTTCTGGTATTCAAGAATCTTCACCACTGGCCTTTGATTTTCCCTCCTACAAAATTCTCCATGTCAAAATCAAACTCAGAGCAGTTGCTGTTCTTAGAATGTGTTATGCTCTCATGCGTTTTTTTTTTCCACTGTTCTCTCTGCCTGGAATGTTCCCCCTTCCCACCCATCTCATTATCTCTGCTCAAGCAAACCTACTCTGCGATACCTTTGCGGGCCAGACACAGGGATAGCTATCTTTTTTCCTGTGGCTCACAGTGTATTGTAACTGCCCACTTCTCTGCTTCTTGAAGAGAAGAACTTAAGTGTCTTATCTTTGTATTCCTTACCTCTAGCATGGTGCCTGGCATATAGCTGCTGCTCAACAAATGTTTAATGAAAGAGCAGTGAATGAACAGAATAGGGGGTCTCAATCTCACCTCTAAAGCCAACCAGTAACCAACACTCCACTTTAAAAGCACTGAAAGACTCCTTTAAATTATACATAATTGAATGCTAGGCTCTCCAGATGTCAGCTAGGAATATCTTAGCTTAAAATAATTTTTCATACTAGAAAAATCACCTGGCAGGGATCTTAGAGAATGAGAGAACCATACTGATAACATTTAAAGTAGTGAGAATGGAATCCAGAAAAGGCCAGAGTATAAAATACTGCCCAGGGGAGGCATTAAGGACATAAGAGCCTCTAGAGAAAGGACAGGGAGCACTGAAAAGAGTAGAGTTTGGGTAAACTGGGATTTAAAGTTTGCCCACTTTTTAGTGTAGCCTGGGAATACAGTAGACACCTTGGTTTTTAACTAGAGAGCTGATTAGCGGGATGGGGGAGCAAACCAAAACCCAAACCCAGTCCACCTGACATGCAGAGAAACAAAAAAATGCCTGCTATACTGACTGATTCTTGCTCTCTCTTCCATACTTCTTTCAGCATGGGGGATATTATGGACTGAACTGTGCCCCCCAAAATTCCTATGTTTTAGCTTTAACCCCTCAATACGTAACTACATTTGGGAAAACGGCCCTTACATAGGTAATTAAGGATAAATGAGGTCATCAACATGGGGCCCTAGTCCAATAGGATTCGCGTCCACGTAAGAAGAGGTGGAGATACCAGGAGTTTGCATGCACAGAAAAAAGGCCAGGTGAAGACACAGCGAGTCTGCAAGCCAATGAGAGAGGCCTCACTAGAAACTAACCCTACTGGCACCTCTGATCTTGGACTTTCTAGCCTCTAGAACCATGGGAAAATAAATTTCTGTTGTTTAAACCACCCAGTTTGTGGTATTCTGTTCTGGCATCCTTAACAGACTAATACAGGGTGACATACAAATTCTCCTGCTTAAAATGGAAATTTAAGGGAATTTGAAACTAGCATCATCAAATAACAACAGATAGAAGTATAAGGTATTATTAATTTGAATGAGTATTTAAATCTCATCCCCCAGCTGTTGGGCCAAATAGCAGCTTTTAAGTCTAATGAAAAACTAAAATATAATTCTTTCTATGATGGGCCAAGGGTAGGAAGGAGAATAAGATCTTCTACAGTGAGGTGGAGGACAAGCAGGAAAATTTGAAAAGGAGATGATAAAAGTGAGAAAGCTTCTCTCTAACCTAAGGAACCACCTCTTCCCTCATGTATACAAAACTCTTGCTCCTTACCATTCCTTTGGGGCTCCCCAGATTCTTGCTCCTGCTGGGTCTTCTTGGGATGGAGTTGGACAGTCAGTGACTCATGTGGCCTTCCCAAGGGGGCCAACTTGTCCAAAAGTATGATCTGTCTTTCTGAATTGGCTGGGTCCTGGGAACAATGAAGTATGATTGGGTTTGTAAGGTAGATTTTGTGCAAGAACTTCAGAGAAAAGATCAAAAGAAGCATCTGCCAGAGACTGAGGACACAGAAAAAGGGACAAAAGCTCATTCAATTGCAAATGGCAATAATGACTGAAAAAGAAGAGACAGAGGCTAATCTGTACAGTTCAGGACACTGGAGAGTGAAATTCAGTGTCTCTTCTCACAGTGATCTGCAAAGGTCCAGTCATAGTCTTGGGACTTGAAAAGTATCTTAAAAATCATCTAGGCCAACTTCCTCTAAATGGGGGCATTTCTTCTCTAATTGTGTTGTCCAATATGATAGCCACTAGCAAAATGTGGTTATTGAGCACTTGAAATATGGCTAGTACAAACTGAGATAAATGAAGTGTAAAATACACACCAAATTCCGAAAAAATACAAAATACCTCATTTTTTATACTGATTACATATTTTGGGTTAAATAAAATATATTTAATTTCACTTGTTTTTATTTTTATTTTTATTTTTTATTTTTTATTTTTTTTCGAAATCGGGGTGAGTTTATTATGAGCTAGGTTTGAGGACTAGCCCAGGACCTTTATTCCCCAAGGAAAGAAGGACACCAAAGAAGTGGGGCTTACAGAGTGGTTTTATAATGTCATGGAACAAAGACCATATGTCACATATGACGGGAATGTCCCTTTTACTACTGTCACGGGATGCGTAGCTGGCACAGCAGGTCAGTGGTCAGCAGGTGAGCGGTCACGAGGTGTTTTTATTTTTTAAATGTGGTTACTAGAAAATTTTAATTACGTATAAATGACTCACATTATATTTCCATTGGAAAGCGCTGTTCTGTAATATCCTTGACATTTACTTGAACCCCAACTTGAATACTCCTATGGAAAGGGAGTTCTTTTTATAAAGTAGCCCATTTCATTTATAGGTAGCTATGAATGTTAGAAAATTCTTTGTTTTCCTCTGATACCTATTTGCCTTCCTGTAATTTCTCAGTGATCCTAGCCTTCCAAACTGACACAGAATCAGCCCAGTGCCTCTCTTTACTCAGCCACCCTTTAATTATTTGACACTGGCAGTCAGGTCCCTCCCTAAGCCTTGTTCCTCTCCAGAGTAAGATATTAAATACCTTCAGGTGTTCTTTCATATGTCTTTTGCTTTGGCCTGGTCCAGATACCCTCATCTCTCACAACCAAATGACTGCCCCCTTCTCACCTGCTTTGGAGGTTCATCAAGCTCTCTCTCCAGATCCTCCAGCACAGTCACCGCCTCCTCTCCGGTCTCTGGATGGTGCGCCTGCACCCATGCTTGCAGTTCCCTAGGAAGGATGCTCAGGAACTGTTCCAGCACCAGCAGGTCTAAAATCTGCTCCTTGGTGTGGTATTCTGGCCTCAGCCACTGGCGGCAAAGCTCCCTGAGCTGAGTAAGAGCTTCACGGGGTCCAGGTGCGTCCTGATAGCAGAGCTTCCTGAAGTGCTGCCTGAAGAGTTCCCTTCTGTGAGGACTGTACTTTCGTGAGACGGAGTCCTGGCCGCAGTAATGGTCTTCTGCCTTAACCATTAGAAGTCCTTTTTGTTCCTCAGGTTCCCGGGCTGTGGCCATTCTGGGCAGTTTTTCAGATTAATCCTCTGTCTCCGGTTGATTCCAGAAGAATCTCTTAGAATCTTGTCTCAGAGAAAAAGTTGTTACCATAGAGAAATGACAAAAGCTGCTGTGAACATAAACACTAATGAAGGCAAGCAACCAGCGTTGAGTAGAAAAAATAGTCTCATAGGAGGCCGTCAAAAATAACACTAAAGCAGAGGCATGGATTTGAATCCGGGCTCTACCGTGTAATTTAGAGCAAGTTACTTATCTAGACTAGAATTACAGATCCTCATGTGTAAAATTATCATGTTTCTCATAAGATTGATGTGTGGATTAAATGAGAACGTATGCAAAGTCCCTGGCCTGGCAGCTATCACTAGTATGGACTATATAAACCTTAAGTATTAACGGCTTTGTTAAAAGGCTCTTTCATTTCACAACGTGAGATGCACGAGTCCCTAGGATTCGGTGGTTGTGGGGTACGTGCGCCAACCCAGGTAGGGGGTTAGAAGGATGCCTCCGCAGAGCAACTCACAATGAATGTTCCCCTCTCACTCCGTTCTCTCTCGGAAGGCCGGCCCCAGACCTCTCCTGTCGGAGGAGCGGGGGAGGGGACAGCCCGCGACGGGGAGGTGTGCAGAGGGGAGTGCTGCAAACCACAACTATGTCCTGCCCCCTCCTCTTCTCCACCCAGGATGGGGGAGAGACTCACCTCACACTCGGAAAAGAACAGGTGCCAAAGCTAGCGTCCTTCGGCCGGCCCCAAACAAAGGCTGAACTGAAACCGACCAATCGGCGCCCGGCTGCTGTTAGCCGGCACTTCCGGGCCACTCTAGGAAGCCTCGCCTCGGTGGCGGCGGCCGGGCTCCCTCAGCAGTCGTAGTCGGTGGAGGATCCGGATCCCGTGTGTTTACCTAATTCGGCTGCGGGTCCAGGAAGCCCGTCGTCTTTGCTCTTTTTAAAAAACCTTTTCACTCTCAAGACTTTTTTCTGTTTAATTATTAAGTAATATGAATAAGTAATGCATTCACATGGCTCAATATTTAAAAAGAATGTCCCCCATCATCTAGTTTTGATAACCAATGTTTTTTCGTGACATATATAAGTATATATCGTACTGTAAATATATTACGCAGCTATTTATTATCCTCGCTTTTTCCCCCTCTACACAAATGGTAGCACTTTGCTTTTTTTTAACTCCTACCAATTGATTTTGGAGATTGTACGTAAAGGGCTTCCTCGATATTGCCTTTTTTTTTAAACAACTGTATACTATCCAGTTGTTTATATGTGCCATAATTTGTAAATAAATACCCCATTGATGGTGATGTAGGTTGTTTTCAATCTTTCCCTTTTCAAACGCTGCTGCAATAACTTACTGTGAACGGACATTGTTTCTCATGTGTAAGGATATATCCATAGGATATGTTCCTAGAAATAAAATTACTACACACAGAGTAGAGGTGTTTGTACTTTTGTTAGTGCCAAATTACCAATCATAGAACCTACTAGCGATGTTGTTTACCTATGCTTGTCAACACAATGTTATAAAATATTTTGATCTTTGCCAATCTGATGGGTGAGAAATGCTTAGTTTTTTTCTCCCTGTGTCCCTTTCTTAGGCAAATATTGCTTAGTCACATACTATGCCAGCCACTGTTCTGGAAGCTGGAACTATAAAACAATGCCCTTGCCTTCATGGAATTTATAATTTTGTGTGTGTGTGTGTGTGTGAGGTAGGGAGGCAGGCAATAAACAAGAAAAATATATAGTGTATTAAAATTAATATGTCCATACCCCTTGATGCAGCAAGTTAACTTCTGGGAATTATCCATATAGAAATACTTATACAAATGTTTGAACATATATATGAAGAACATTGTTTAAATTGGGAAACCCAAATGTCCAACACTTAGGAATTTCAATTTCTATATGTCCGATGATTTTAAAAACTAAAAACTAAAAGATGCCAAAGGCATATTGAGTAAAAAAAGTAAGTTACCAAACAGTATGATATGATGGTTTTTGTGAAACAATTATCTTAAATGTATTCTCAATGATGATCACTTGGGGTATACTTACAGAGAACTTGTACTTTATACATTATATATTTCTGTAAAGTTTTAATTTTTTACAAAAATTTGCTACTGGTATAAACAGGAAAAGATAATTGTTTTAAAACTCCATTTATTCTTCACAACCTACAAACAGTTTTCCTGTTTGGGGAATGTCATCGATATCCCTTTTCTCTGTGTGAAATTCTTTGCCTGACAAGTCATCTTGTAAAAGGGTATAACTCCTTTAAGATGAAAATCAGATCCAACTTCTCTATGCTTCTGAAGGGCAATTATAAATGATCAAGTAAACCTGGATGGAATATTTAGGTAATGTAGAAATGAATAACTCCCCAGTAAGCTTTAGGAAACTTTCCTCTGGGGAGAAAAAGGATAACCTCTGCTCTTCTTTCCAATAGAAGTACGTGATCAAAAGCCAAAGCCCCTTCCCTTGACTGTGGCATAACGTGTCCCTCATAGCCAACTGAGCAAATTAAAAATCCAGATAATGCTTAACTAGTTCCTGCTTCCCCTTTAGTGCAGTGCACTATCAGCATGTTTCTCCCTCCTTATCTAATGTTTTGTTATATCAAATTCTCTTATCAGTTTTTCAAACACAAACCCTGCTACAGCTCCTGAACTTCCTGAGTACCTCAGAATATTCTTCAGGTATGCCCCTGGCTTCAGTCACTCATCAACTTCAGAGCATCAACTTGCCAGATCCTTGGAGCACCTGGTTGTGGTAACTTGAGTGGCTGCACAGCAGACAAAATGAGGCTTCCAGCCACTGTCACAGATCCTGTTAAAATCCTGGCTCTGCTCTGGGCCTAAGTATGTCTTCCTCTACTTGGGTAGAGCCTCTCTGACCTCTTTACTAAGGCATAAGCAGACAATCTGGTGTATGACAAGCAGGGCCCTCTTCCTCTCCTCCTCTATCTATGTTTTCCAAAGCTACCAAAAAAAAAAAAAAAAAAAAAAAAAGAAAACCCCACAAAAACACTAGTGGACTATTTTAAAAATAACAGTACTTGGTAGATGTATATTCTCACTTGCTTTCATTATTTAAAAAGAAAGAAAATAAATGAACTAAGCATTCAACTCAAGAAATCAGACGAAGAATGAGAAAGAAACCCCCAAGGGAAAGATTAGAAAAGAAATAAAGATAAAAGAAGTAAATGAATTAGAAAACAGAAAAATAGTGACATTAATAAATAAATCCAAGAATGAAATCTTTGTAAGTGAGCCCATAGAAACAACAAATAAAACAACAAACCTATGGTAACCCTGAGAAAAAAATTAAAAAATTATAAATGACAAATAATAGCAGATGAAGAAAATATGCTATCAAAATTTTTGAAAATCTCAATAAAATTGGTGATTTTTGGGAAAAACTATTAGTTCCAAAATTCATTCAAGTAGAAAAATCTATATAAACCAATCCTAAAGGAAATAATTAAAAAAGCTATCAAAGAATCATCTCCAGAAAGGCAAGATAATTCTGTAGCATTTTTTTATAAGTAGTTACTACATGTGTATGGTGAATTCTTTCTAACTTTTCCATTTGAAATATACAGAGAAGTAGGAAGGGGAGAATCACTCCACTTTCATCATCTAAATAGTCATTGTTGACATTTTGTTGTCATTTACTTTCAATGTTTAATATTTTTAATCTGTTTTACATAGTTGTGATTATATTCTAAAAACACTTTAATAGGCTGTTTAACATTATAATGTAATAAAAACTTTTCATTTTATTATAAGCCTTTCATTATAAGCTTGTCATAAGAATAACTATATCTCCATTGTTTGAGATAATAGTACCTACCTTACAGAAGAAAAGTTTACACGAGCTATATAAGGTGCTTGGTAGTTTCTGGGACATGGTAGGTATACAATAAATGGTAGCTGCTATTGTTATAGTTTGCAAATGGCTTTTCCTTTTGCATATATCATTCATTTAATTTATAATGGGTATTACTATCTCACAACATATTGTTTCCTCTTTAGGGGAAATAGACAAGCCAGATGCCTCCCAGAGAAGCCAAGAATATATTATTGCTCCTCAGGAAAATCCTGCTCTGTTGGTTTTGCTAAGAAGGTGGAGTCCAGGCTGAGCAGAGCTCAGTAAGTTGGGGCCTAGAGTGGTAGAGAAGAGAGGTGTCCTGAGTCTCAACATTCAGAGACCTGTGCAGGGCCAGGATCCTCAGTGGTACAAAGAAATAGTAGTGAACTCAGATTTGGATTAGGATCTTTCATATTAGGCATTTGGCCTAACTACCTATAGAAATAGAGTTATTACTGTGAAGTCACTGAGCAGTCAATGATCAAAAGAACAAGTGCTCCGGCCTCCACAAACACTCAACCTCCCCCTCGAGTTTCTTTAGAGGTTGCTTTTTCATGTTTTCACTAACTTTGCTTTCGTTTCCTGTTTGCAGTTTGTTTTTCTGGGGTCTCCAACCTTTTCTTTCCCCCTAACTTCTCTTTGCTTTCCTTCCTTTTTCTTGGCTGTTTTTTCTTTTCACCTCTCCCCCTGGAGCATTCTGGCCTCATCCCATTGCTTTCCCATAACTGCTCCTATTACTAAATGCTTCAGATTTCTATAGTTCTCTTCCCCAGTTGAGGCTCTGCTTTTGTCCCTAGGTTTTTCACATTTACACTTAATGTTGACTCCCTTCATGTGTGTTTTTATGTTTTTCATCTCACCCAAAGAACTAGTCTTTAAGGATTTGGCTAGAAGCTATTATAATTAACTTTCAACAAATAACCTATAAATTCTGTCTAAGGAAAATTTTAACATGGCTTTCCTCTACCTTCAAGTGCTCAAAGAATACATTTTTAAATTTATTTTTTAATCTAAATCTTCAAACTGTTGTTAGCAGAAAACACTTTCTTCATAAAAAATCTTATTTGGGAGTCCAATATATAAAACTAACTAAAGTGAAGCTATTTTGGTGGTGAGGAACCTGGAGCCCTGAAGCCCCTCTAAGAAACCCTTAGGGCAGGGGCCATGTTCACACAGGTGAAATGAATGAAGGGGGTTGGTAGAAGACAACAGGAAGCTGCGTGGTGGTAGGGATCATGTCCAACGGGATAGTGGTAATTAGCTCATGTCAACTGCTGCCATGTGGGAATGTGGTGCCTAATATTGCCACATCAGGCATTTTAGTAAGAGAATCTGGAAAGTCAGATTTTATGTGAAATCTCCAGATTCTTAAATAGTTGCAATAATTTTATATTACCAAAAAACAAAAACAAAACACCTATGTGGGAAAAATGCATGTGCAGGACAAATACAGCCCATTTAGCCTGTTGGCCATCTCTGGTTTAAGCTGTGAATGGTCACTGGGAACTTGCATGATAAATCTTGCTCCACTCCCACTGAACCATGCTACCCACACAAATCATAATTCATTCCAATATTACAAAATGGCTTTTGTATTTCACAATGTTTTTAGTGTAGATAATTTATATGTTAATATATTTTATCAAGTTAACCAGAAATTGACGGTTTTATTTTTTCATGCAGATCAGATATTAACTCTAAATTCATACTCTATACAAGATTATTATTCCAACTCCAAAGAAAATAGAGGGGAAGAAAGAGAATAGGAACAGTAGTAATCTCTAAAACCTCCAGTATATATCTAATAGAACATTTAGATTTCTGGAGCCACTTGCTTCAGAAAAGAAAAGTTTGAGAATAAGGAATGAGCCCTTCCAAAGTCCCAGTTCACCAGATGGTAAGCCTGGTGGCAGAACATCACAAAGTACTGTTTGGCAAGCTGCTTATCTCAGCTCCATATGTATTTTCAAATGACTGCTGAAATTGCAATAGTGATTGCAGAGTCCCCTACATCACTGTAATAGTAGCATCCTTTTCTGGTTGTGCTTTTCCGATGTTCCACAGGAATGAGCATAGATAAAAAATTCTGCACCACTCGTGATGTCACCAGGGCTTCTCTCCAGTGTGGATTCGCTGATGTACAATGAGGTATGAGCTCCGCTGGAAAGCTTTTCCACACTCATCACACTTATAGGGCCTCTCTCCAGTGTGGATTCGCTGGTGTCCAACAAGAGCTGAACTATGACTGAAGGCCTTTCCACACTCAACACATTCATACGGTTTCTTCCCACTGTGGATTCTTTGGTGATGCAAAAGGCCTGAGCTCTGGCTGAAGCTTTTCCCACACTCACTACACTGGTATGGCTTCTCTCCAGTATGGACTCTCTGATGTTGTATCAGATGTGAGCTCAGACAGAAAGCTTTTCCACAGTCATTACACTGGTATGGTTTCTCTCCTGTGTGGGTCCTCAGGTGTCGAATGAGGCCTGAGCTGTAATGAAAAGCTTTCCCACACTCATTACATTGGAAAGGTTTTTCTCCAGTGTGGGTCCTTTGATGCTGAACAAGGTGTGAACTGTAATAAAAGGCTTTATCACACTCATCACACTGATACGGTTTTAATCGGTTATGTATTTTCTGATGGTCAATAAGTTGTGATCTCCGACTGAAAGTTTTGCCACATACTTTACATGAATAGGGTCTCTCTCCAGTGTGGATTCTTTTATGTCTTATGAGGTTTGATTTTTGAGTAAATCTTTTCCCACATTCATCACACTTATATCTTCTCTCACTTGTGTTTCTCTGATATCTTGCACGTTTTTGGGTTTTTCTACATTTAGGAACCTCTCCATTGATTTGGCCAGATAACTTTTCTTGGGATTCCATATATACAGGAAGTTCCTGCCTTTGAATCAATTCTCCTTTCTCAATTCTGATCACATCATCTGAAATAAAAAGTATAGCATTCAAATGTCACTGAAATATATAGGAAATAAAATTAAACACATATACTAGATGTACACAGCTTAAATATACTAACAAAGTGGTTTTACAACATTTGAGGAAATTGGGAGATGGGAAAGGAAGAGAGAATTAGCAGTGGAGAAAAATTAGCGAAGAATAAGAGGGGTCCAGTGAACAAGCACAGTACATAAAAGATCTCAGATAAGAATGGGTTCACTAGGGAAGACCAGAAGTTGAGTAGAGAGGGATGAAAGAAAGGAACTGTGGGAGGAACAGCAAGAAAAAGGAAGCTGACAGTGGCAGGCACCAAGCTGGAGCTATGAAACAACTCTGTGCAGGTTGTTCTGAAGGCCTCTAAGAATATTAAAAAATGAGAGATCAGAGCACAAAGAAATATCCCATTTCCAAATATGAAGAACAAAGAGATTAGAGCCTAGACACATGGGGCAAAAGAGGATGTTATCACGTGGGGACAGACAGAAACTGCTTTGGCCCCCAAAGACACTGCCACTACTCTTTTTGCAAAGGATAACACTGGGAATCTGTCAAGCCTGAAGCTACACTCTGTGGGTCATTTGAGACTTCCCAGGCAAATAGTCATTGACACAGAGAAGTTCTTTAATAGACCCTAGACTTCTACCTGTCCTTACCCAAGGAAACTATATTCCCATAATTCCTCTGCCTGTCTTTCCTACAGAGGCTCCTCTGAGCAGAATCCCAACACCCCCATTCCTCCAGAGTGGGAAATGGGGCCATTTCCTCAATGGTCAAGTTTCTGAAAAAAAGTGAGATTGTCCCTCTCAAAGCATATTCTCCCTTAAAGTAATCCATTTTAGGACCCAGAGTGAAGGGCAGAATTTGTAGCCATGTAGAATAATGCAGGGAAAAGTGATACACTTTGTGTGGATAAGAGACATTAAATGGAACAAAAAAAAAAAAAAAAAGGAAAAGGCAACTATGGAGACAGTTGAAGAACTAGGATGCAGAATGAGTCAGACCTAACTCTTGGCAGAGGCACTGGGTTGACTGTGCCAAAATGCGTTGGCTAAAGAGATCCTGGGATTAGGCAAGAGAAGAAGCCATGGTCAAATAGCAGATTTGAGATCTCTCAGAGTGTGGATGAGGGACAAAGCTCACTGGCAACATGTCTGAGAAAAGTGACAGCCACCTCTGGGTCTTGGGGTTCCCATCCTGTGAAGGGCAGAAACCCAGAGATACAGCAGAGCTGAGCAAGAATGTTGCCAGAAGTAAGATGAGCCTCTCCTCGTGGCCTCCTTTTAGGACAGGGGCCTGCAATGATTTCCTCACCAAACCAGCTTGCCACGCTGGTTAAAAAACCCTCCTTGTTAGTGGTTATATAAGGTTATCTTAAAGTTTTTGGGCACTTTAAAACTTTATGTTATAGCGACCCTAGATCTATCTGTGTACAGAATTTAAAGGCAAATTATATAAAGATACACATTTACCCACGAACATAGTTTTGTAGAGCCATTAGGAAGTAAAAAGTGGCTACTGAAGAGGGGATCCAAAACAGCAGTATACATATAATAGAACTAATATCCATATCAGCCCGAGAAGAAAATTTATGGATTATTATAAAAAAAGAAGCACGGGGGGCTGGCCTGGTGGCGCAGGCGGTTAAGTGCACGCATTCCGCTGCGGTGGCCAGGGTTCGCTGGTTCGGATCCTGGGCGCGCACCGACGCACCGCTTGTCAAGCCATGCTGTGGCAGCATGCCATATAAAGTGGAGGAAGATGGGCATGGATGTTAGCCCAGGGCCAGTCTTCCTCAGCAAAAAAAGAGGAGGATTGGCAGATGTTAGCTCAGGGCCAATCTTCCTCACAAAAAAAAAAAAAAAAGAAGCACTGTATAGAAACTCAATTTCTAGCTGACTAAAAAAGGTTTGGGAAAATGGTGTATTTGTAGTCAGGATGGCACACTGAGTTCATACTTCGGCTCTAAATACACAGAATGATAGACCAAAAATAAAAATTAATCTAAAAACACATCTGTGCTAAAAGATAAACATCTGTGTGGAACAGAAAGGAAACAAAAACACAGAATGTGGCTACAGTTGAAGATGTGGGCCTGCTGGGCTCCAGAGAGTGACTGAGATCTTGGCCCCAGAGGAAAATAGGGGAGTAAAAGTGCTCCATGGGAGGCGGGGCCTGGTTGATGCCAGAGGCTGGGTGGGACATGCAGGCACACACATACAGAAGCACCCAGACATACACAGAGAAAGATACAACCCTGTGACCAAGAACTATGTCAAGCCACCTAGAAGCCTGTGACTTCATTGGTGACATCTGCTACCACATGAAACAGGAGACCTAAGACTTGGTTCCGGGGGACCAGGTAAGAGTAACAACAGAATTCCTAAACAAGGAAGGAGAGAATGTAAAACAGATCAGAAAGAACTCAAAATGAGCCTAGAAATGAAAATTTCAAAACTTATAAATGGAATGCTAAGAAAGGCAGTTAACAAAATCACCAATTGAAACATGAATTCAATCCAGATAAAATTATTTTCATCAAAAAGCCTGAAAAAATTAGATTAAAGATACCTAAAAGATATAAATGATGACATACCATCCATGGCAAATAAATATGGAATTATGAAATAAAATAAGCAAAAATGAAACAAGCATAGGTGGTATAAAAACTGAATAGAAATCTTAGATAAACTGGAGACAGATGGAGAATAGACTGAAAGACAATTGAAGAAGAAGAATCCACTAAGATGTACCACAGAGAGACAAAGACATAAAATATATGAAAAAGTAGTTAAGTGAAATGAATAAATTGATAAGTAGGTTCTAATAGTGTCTTCTGGGAATTCCAGAAGAAAATAATATAAGGAATAAAAAAGAAGCACTATTTAAAGAACAAATAGCTGAGAATTTCCCATAATTGAAGAAAAACGTGGGTTCTTGGAGCAAAAGTGCACTTATGGACCAAATAAGATGAACAAAAATAAAACCATATCAGAACACATTTTTTAGTGAAACTTCATAAAGGTTAAGAATAAATCTAAAAGTTACTAAAGAATAAAGATAGAATCCCTAAAAAAAAAAAAAAAGGCATTTAAACTGATAATAGTCTTTTAATAGCAAACAATAGAAGCTAGATAGAAGATAGTGAAGTAGTATCTTCAAAATGCTGAGAAAAAAAAATTGTCAATTAGAATTTTATCCCAGCTAAATCACGATTAAAAATGGAGGGTAAAGTAAGGGTAGATATGCAAAGACTAAGTCTACCACCCGAAGAACCTCACTAAAATAATTACTAAAGTATGAACTTCAACAAGAGTAAACTCAGAGGAAAGGTGTTGGCATACAAAAATGGTGCCTCAGAAATTGATAAAATTTGTCAGAAAATTTAATTAACAATTTACTATTCAAGAAAAAAGAATCTAATTCACATTTTAAAAAGAAACTGGTTCCTATGAGTGACCAATTATAATCTAGGGGGCCTAGAGTTGATAAAAAGTCTAGTTCCCCAGTTATAGGGGAAGAATTTCAAAAAGCCCATGAAAATAAGGGAATTTAAATTCCTCTGATATTGCCTTCTCTTAGCAAAATAAAGGTTCAAGTCCCTGAGCTCTCAGTGTGTAATTAATCCTAGGCGAGGTTTTCAAGTGTGGTTTAATAGATGTGGACCAATATTTGACTTTGCTGCTACCGGACCTCTTTATAGGGACTTAAAAGAGGGGGTTTATTCAAGAAAACATGCTCCTTAGAATTGAGGTCATTGCAACCATTTATTTTCTAGTAGCTAGATGATCAGATGGCCCACACTATTCCCAATTTCTACAGTGACTGTATTGAAGCATACAATTTTGTATTGTTTGTCCTAAAAATAATTCTGACTTCACACGCCATTTGTAGATTGTACCTACCATACCTATAGCTTAAATTACCAAATTTCAAATCTGCCCAAGGGCTTAAAGCTCTGAATACCTATCTCTATCTTTAATTTCCCCATAGAATAAAATCTAAACTCATTTGTTGAGTATACAAGCCCTTCATGATCCACTGGATTCTTGACTCTAGTTACACATTAGAATCACCTGGGGAGTTTAAAAAAAAGAAAAAGCCCATGACTGGGCCCTGCCCCAGTCCAACTGAAACCCAAATTCTAAAGGTTGGCCCCAGGCACTGATATATTTTATAAGTCATCCATATGCAAAATGAGGGTTAAAAACTCTGATGTGAGAATATCCCTGCCTACCTTTCCAGTTTCATTTCCCGTAACTTTCCACCTTCCTCACATTTTTATACTCCATCAGTACTAAGGACTTAAGAATGTGGGCTCTGGAGACAGACTATTTAAATCCCACATCTGCCATTTACTAGCATGGCAGTCTGGTGCCATTATAGGGTACAAGCCAATAGCTCTACCTACCTAAAATCCTTCAAGCGCAGAAATGATTTGCAGGCCAGAGTGAGTACTAACGTTCATAATGATTAACTTCAGTCTTCACGAAAAGGATAGACTGTGTTCAGTTTACTCTAAGAATGTTGTACATATCAGTAAGATGTCCATTAACTGGCTAATGCAAATAATCAAGTTTTGACCATCAAACAACAAGCTTCAGTTATTTAGGGAAACCTTATCATGTGAAATACCTTATTTCTTGACAATGTTGTTACCAGATAATTTGGAGAACATGAATTTCCAAATGATAGTAGGATGACCAAAGATACTCCTATAGGTAAGAAGTATCCTAGTCATTAAAAATCCTCCCTAGGTAAAACAGAGACCACAATGAAGAAAGTATGACTCATATTCTTTATTATTTTTTTTGTGTGTGTGAGGAGATCAGCCCTATGCTAACCTCTGCCAATCCTCCTCTTTTTTTGCTGAGGAAGACTGGCCCTGGGCTAACATCTGTGCCCATCTTCCTCCACTTTATATGGGACGCCGCCACAGCATGGTTTGCCAAGCAGTGCGTCGGTGCGTGCCTTGGATCCGAACCGGCGAACCCTGGGCAGCGGAGCGTGCGCACTTAACTGCTTGCACCACCGGGCCGGCCCCTAACTCATATTCTTTAGATGACACTATTTCTAATAATGACATTCTTCATTTTCCCTTGCGAAAAGTGGCCATCACTTCCACCCATCAGACGTAGGCAGATTCCAACCCTGATCCCTAGAGCCCTTGTTCAAGACAGGAGAGGTGGGGCTGGCATGGTGGCGTAGTGGTTAAGTTCACGTGCTCTGCTTTGGCAGCCTGCCGGGGTTCATGGGTTCAGATCCCGGGCACAGACCTACACACTGCTCGTCAAGCCATGCTGTGGCAGCATCCCACATAGAAAATAGAGGAAGACTGGCACAGGTGTTAACTCAGAGACAATCTTCATCAAGCAAAGAGGAAGACTGGCAACAGATGTTAGCTCAGGGCCAATCTTCCTCACCAAACAGACACATAGATCAATGGAACAGAATAGAGAGCCCAGAAATAAACTCATGCATATATGGTCAGTTAATTTATAACAAAACAGCCAAGAATATACAATGCGGAATGGATAGTCTCTTCAATAAATGAGGTTAGGAAAAGTGGATAGCCACTTGAAAAAAAAAAAAAAAAAGACAGGAAAGGAGTCAGAAAGAGCAACTCTGTCATCATTCCAGTACCTTCTAGAGCTTTAAAACAAGTGATGTAGCTCTCTTGCATCCTTCTCTTCCTCTCCATCACCATTCAGAACAGCCCTACTTTTGGCCCTCATAATGTTGAGCTAGAACTATAGCAAGTCTTCAAAGTGGTCCTTTTTTTCCTCCCTCTCCAATCCAGATTACATCTGGCTTACAAGGCACATGCTAGTTCCTGCTCAACGCTCCCCCACCCCCGCCAAAAAAAAAGAAAAACTTTCTTAGGCTCTCTAAAATTTTGTTCCAGACCACCTACCAGACACTCAGTCTCAGCCAAACTGACCCACCCACATCCTCCTATCGTGATTTGTACTTTTCCGCATTATTCCTCTGTTTGGACTCCATCATTCACCTTTAGTGAGCATTTCCTACATATAAGTTGCTGGGGATACACAGAAGGAGCCTCAGACAAGTGGTAATATAGTATGCTAAATGTTATGACAGAGGTATGCACAAGGTGCATCACATGACTCATACATGTGGGAGAGTATCAAGAAAGGCTTCCTGAAGGAGGTGACAGCTGAGTAGAAGAATAGCTATAAGTTGGTTTGGTAGAAGAGTGGAGAAGGTGCTGTCACAGGTGGTGTTTGATAAGATGAATTCAACATGGTTGCTATGTGTATGTGTGCAGCAGTGGGGTGGAGGTGGCTGGGAGAATGCTGAGCATTATTAGCAAAAAACAAACATATCATGGGTTGATAGGATAGGGAAGGAAAGAAGCACTGGGGAAAAAAATGGGTTGAATGACTAGAAATTCCAATGTGACCAAAGAAGAAGAGAAGAGCTAGAAGAGGGGTGCGTGTGAGGAACATCCTTCCTGATGCTCTCTGCCCAATGAAATGCAACCATTCTTTACCACCCAGTTAGAATCCCAGCCACTCTGCTACCACCAGGGCCTAAAGAACAGATTTCTCCCTCCTCAGACCACGATCTCTGATTTGGCACACAATCATTCACTGTTTCAAATCAACAGCTATCTTTTTATGGGTACTCAACTCCATAAGGCATGGATCCTCACAGAACCCAGAGCCAGGCCTTACACACAGTGAAAGTTAAAGATTTACTGACTTCTTAACAGGACCCACAAAGCCCTCATGTTCTGGCCTCTGACCACCTTCTCTCTGCTACTCTGCCTGTCTCTCCATGCTCCAGTCACCCCATCTTCTTTCAAACCCACCAATTTCTTTCCCACTTGTTTTTGCACATGCTCTTTTGGCCTGTAATGCTTTTCCTTCTAATATTCACTTGGCTAATTCCTATTCCACTTTTAGGATTCAGCTCCCATGTTACTTCCTCAAAAAAGCCTTCTCTGACTACTGTCTCCCTCATATACAATCTGTCATGGTCTATTTGTGTATTTATTTGTTTAATGCCTCTGTTACCAGACTATTGTAAGCTCCATGAAAGCAAGGATCATGTCAGCTGTATTCACTATACTGGGTGCTTTGCAGTGCCTAGCACATAATAAGTACTCAATATATATGTGCTGAATGATGAATGATTCTAAGGTCTCCAGGGGAGACATACGACCAACTGTAAACACTAACCACAATCCTCTTGGTGTTGAGGGTCCTGAGATTTACCATTACACTGGATTTCCATGGGTTGAGGCTGGAGATACGTTGTTTCCTTAGCTGGATCCAGAGGCACCAATGTCTCAGAAAGCATTTCCTGTGCACAGGCCTGGGTTGAAACCTGGAGGACAAGCAGACTCATTTGGGCATCTGAAGGGCCCACAAGGTACATGATCCCCAGAGAGCCCACAAAGGATCAGTCTAGATGCCCACTCCCAACCATCCTCCCATGGAGCACAGGGCCCTTTCCTACCTGCTGGCCTGGTTCATCCAGCTCCCTTTCCAGATCTTCCAGCACAGCCACTGCCTCCTCCCCACTCTCTGGATGATGCTCCTGCACCCAGGCCTGCAGCTCCTCAGGCAGGATGGTCAGGAACTGCTCCAGCACCAGCAAGTCCAACATCTGCTCCTTGGTGTGTATCTCAGGCCTTAACCACTCACAGCAGAACACCCAGAGCTGGCTCAAGGCCTCACGGGGCCCAGGAGTATCCTTGTAGCAGAATTGTCGGAAGCGCTGGCGGAATAACTCCTGGTTATTTGGGCTGCTCCCTTGTGGGCCAGATCCCTGACCCTTGGCAGGCCTTTTTTTGTTGTTTACTTCAAAGAGCCTCTTTGGCTCTTTAGGAACCCGTGGAAGGAACACAGCAGCCATTCCAGCTCCGATTGGCAGAGAAGAGGATGGCTGTTACAAGTGTTATCTTTTAGCGCACACTCCTAAGGTTACAGAAACCATAGTTAAAAATATATATAAACACAGGCTGATTAAATACTTGAGCTCACTAAGTCTAATGTTTCTCTGTTTTAGAAGAAAAAGGAGGCTCAAACCAAAATTAAAGAGAATTCAATAAAAAGAATTTTAAAAATAAAAGCTTAAGGCAATTCAAACCTTTTTCCAAGCAGAAGGAACGTTTGTGAAGAAACAGCATGTTTCATAATACCGAGAATATTAAATAAATTATATATATATATATAAAAATAACACCAAAACAATCAGCTGATAAGGCTAAGCTGAGTTTATGCTTATGAGCCATAGAGAACACTACCTTGACAGAGTCTTAGTAGTATCTCCGAGGGAGGGAGGCAAAGTCAGAATATTTATGAGGTTTTGGGGGTTTAAGGCAGATCTTTCAAAGCAGGATAAGGATTGGGCAAGGATCATGATACAATAGTTTAGGATTGAAGGAAGACACAGCAAGGTGAAGGTTTTGAATTGAGGGTTTCAAAATGTCTGGATCCTATCCATTGACAGTTGAAGAGTTTGATGTTCACTTAAATGGATTGAGGGGCAAGTTCTTGAAACAAATATAATTATTTTCGACTTTTATCTTCCAGGGCAAGAATTTCCTGGAATAGTAAAGTCATGCTGATAAAGACAGCAGACTAGTAGTGTCACATTTAGGGAAGACAACTAAATAGTAAAATCATGTTAATGTAAGTAGTAGGCTGTGTGGGTATCGATGGTTTCAGTTTTCCATGTAATCGCAGACTTAAGCAGGGCCTATCAGTTTAAGGAAACGTGGACTACCAACTGATTAGCATGGTGGGCAGTGGTTTAAAGATATGGGCTGTGGATTCCAAAAGACCCAGGCTTGAATCCTATCATGTTCTCTTATGTGTGGTCGTTTAATCTCCCTAAACTTCTATTTCCCCCTCTGTAAAATATCTTACAATTTTTTTAACGTTTTATTTCAAAATAATCTTAAACTCACAGAAAATTTCCCAAAAAGGTACAGAACAGTCCCTATACCTTTCACTCAGCTTCCCCTCATGTTACTATCTTACATAATCACAGAGCAATTACAAAACCAGAAAAACAATATTTTTATAATGCAATTAAACCACTGACCTTATAGAGGACTGTTTTGGGAATAACTACAGAAAGCATTAAATTCAGTGCATAGCACTTGGCAAGACCTCAGTAAAAGGCTGCAGTTCCCGCTGTGACCTGGTCATCTAGGCGATGGTTCTAGAGACAACGCCTAGCGCTCAGGTACACTTGCTCGGTTTCTGGGCACAGAATTTAGGACCACGCCAGGAGGCCCTCTAGTGCCTTCTCTGCGCCTAGCATCTGTTACTCACTGGGCATCTTTCAAAAACACCTTCATTTCCCCAGCCCTAAATATTAATTTAGGGGATTCTACAGGGGGCTTGGAGAAAGACTTTTAGCAATCATTCAAGATAAAGGACATGGGACCGCTTCTACACGTTGTCTTCCACTAGTTTAGATTCTCGAAAGAATAAGACAACATAGTGAGTGAACCTACTGGACTACAAACACCTTTCCCACCTCTCCTGTAATATAAACCGAACTGGCACATCATCAATGAGCAACCACAACAAGCCCCACACTCGGGAAGGTTTGGCTGTCTGTGTCCCTTAAGCTACAAGGACCTGACAGACCACAAAGGTTTCTGGGAGTCAGCGGCCGCGCTGGACAAAGGGGTGGTCCGCACAGACGCACCCGGGTCAGCACCTGTGGCCCAGGAGTCCGGGTCTTCGAAACGTCCTGGTGCGCCAGCCGGGAGCTGGGCCGGCGAGGGGGCCCAGCAGAGCCCGGGCACAGTCGCCGCCCAGCCCTGCTCCTGACCCGGCTCCGCCGGCGCTTCCGGCGCGGGCTGAGCAAGCAGGTGGCTCCTCCCACCCGCGCCCAGCCGACTAGGGGCTCCCGGGCAGCGGGGGCCCGCTCTCTCCCGCCGGCGTTACGCAGGCCCGGGGTAGGCGGCCGCTGGGCCGCGGCTAGCCCCCGGGCACCCCAGCCCGCCCGCCAGCGGAAGTGCGTCCGCGAACCCGCCCGGGCCCCGCGGCTGAACTTCCGGCGGCTTCAGACAGTTCCGCGCGGCTTAGCGTGCCCGGGAGCGCTGCGCCGGACGCGGGCTCTGCAAGTCGAGATTCCTAGGCATAGGGGCTTTTGATTTATAACTCGCCTCGTCTTATAAAGAGGAGCCGAGCGCTAGCTCCGCCGCGTTGAGTCCCTCCGCCCTCCCCGGCGCGGGGCGGCGGGCCGGGACCTTCCCAGATGCGCTTCCCTTCCGCCGTCACTTCTCCATGCCTGTTCACCGACCCCAAATCCTCTCGCCCTCTCTGCTCACCTGCCTCCCTGGCCAGCATCCTCCGCCCTTCCATCCCAGCCTTCGGCAACCTGAATATATTTACCAGGCAGACACATCGCTCAACCGGAGTATGACCGCAGTATTCTCATCAGTCCAGTCGCGCAGTGTTGATCATAAATGACCCACAAGGAGAGGAAGGGAAAGGAGAATTAAGGCACGCTGTGATGAACACTGGGCTGTGGATCCCACTTACAACCCGCAAACACGCAAAAAGCTTAAGGGACCTGCCCAAGTCTGCACAGCGCAGGGACAGGATGCACCCGACGCAGGTGATCCAGACCTGTCTTGGGATCCCTCCAGCGTGGCCACACGGAGCGTCACACAGTCGGAGACCACCAGTGCTTAAAATGGCAATTTCCGTGCTTATTGTATACATTGACATTTAAAAATGAAACGGCTACATGGCTCTTTTAAATATATCCAATTGAATTTAAATACCACTCAGCAGGTGTAGTGTTGCTAGGAGCTGCTCAGTACTAGAGTATGTACTAGGAATAGAGGGAAAGTATTGAGATGGTTCTTGGCCTATGGAGTCCAGTTGAGGAAACAGAATAGCTAGTGTTTAGAAGCTTGTGGTATGGAGTTGGGTAAACTTGTATTGGAATCCTGGTTCTCTGATTATTAGCTAAACTTTTCTAAAGCCATTTCCTCTACAAATTGGAGATCATGTTAGTACTTCAGAGAAGTATTGTGATGAATTAGGAAATACCACATTGCTGTTACAACACAACACTTAGTAACTTGATATTTTCATGAGGATTACAATAAAAATCACTTAGTAACTTGATTTCTTACGAGGTAAGAAATGCTTATTACCTCATTCTAGATGGTGAATGAGCTCCATGAGGCTGCAGACTCTACATTTCTGTATTCTGCCATTGGGTCTTATAGAGTGGCAATACATTTGTTCCTGTTTAACTGCTGAATGAGAGGTACAGAGAATGAGTGCTTCAAAAGTTCCCTGGCAAACACCACAAAACTTTTTTTTTTTTTTTAAGAAAATTGGAACCTCAGGTAGAGAACAGTCTTCTGGAAAAATTTAACAGTTGACGGGCTGCAGCTTATAAAGAAAGTTTTCATTCTGGTGACTCTTTAAGTTGGTGGGTGGAGTGGGAAGCAGGGAACCACCGATGTGCTTTACTAACTTATAGAATGTAGGGGAGCAGAATTTGCCACCCCAAAATACGTCTCTTTGGTATAAGGATTATTTTAGCTGGTTATTTTTTAAGAAACAACAGACATGAGAGAAGCTCTGAAAACCAGGTGGAAGTTACCCATTGTAAGAAACATTTACATGTAGAAGGGAAATCTCCATTTGTAAGGGTGTCTCAGAGGCTGCACCAGGAAGAGAGGCAGGACTCAAGCTCTAGAAACTCTTTATCATTGGAGAAGGCAACACTTAAATCTGCATAACAATCTTATCCTTGTTTACTAGGCTTTTCCTGGTAACCTCACATAGCTGACTCCCCATCCCTGACATCTTCTTTTGTCTTTAGCTGAAAATGGTAATGAAGGTGATGGTTTCCACTGTCTCAGGGAGTTACTCCCTTTTCCTGGGTTTCTCCCATGTATACAGGACATATACATATTATTAAACTTTTGTTTTTCTCCTGTTAATCTTTCTTATGTCAATTTAATTATTAGGCCAGCTGAAGAATCTAGAAGGGAAGAAAGGAAATTTTTCTGCCTCAGCAAGGACTTGCAGAGAACCTAAAAAGGGGAATAAATGAATATGACTTAGATGTTGAAGAGGCAGACATAGACAGACTGACAAAGCAGATTACCTTTGTAGGAGCAGAGATGCTATATTGAAAAGGTGGTTGTGACCAGACTGAAATTAGACTGAGCGGAGACCAGGGAGGCTGGTGCTGAGGCTCTCGCAGAGTTGAGGTGTGTGGAGTGAGCACTGGAGGGGAAGGAGCTCAGGTTAGAGAAGGAAAGGTAGTACCTCTCCTTCCCTGGCTGTCTCTCTTCCAGGTCTTCTTAATCCTCTGTGCCTTACTGAGCCACTTGCTCCAAAACAGATGCCCCTTTCATTGGCATTTGATTGGCTTTCCTTGATTTGCTTTGTTCTTTTTAAAATTTGTTCTCTTTCTTACCCAGTAAACAGGCTTTCTTTCCCTAGGGCAGATGTATCTATTATTTCTGGAATACTATCAGCATCTGGATGGCAAGGATCTGCCTTCTCTTTCTTTGTATTATCTGCTGATTCTATGTAAATGTTTAATAAATATGTTTTTAGTTGGTTGATTGATTTTATCAGGGAGGGGGAAATCTCCCCTTCTACCTTTCTTTTGTTCTAATGGCTGGACTAATAATAAAATTAACACAAGACCAGCTTAACAGGAGAAAAACCCCAATTTAATATGTTCGTATTAGAGATTATAGAGAAATGATGCTTGGAGAGTGAACAAAGCAGGCAGTATATATATCTTTTTACATAGAGAAACAACAAATTTGTGAGGAATGATAGGACAAAGAAACTTAAGTTTGAGGTACATAATTAGGAATTTAAACAGAGTTTAGGCTTGAGGTAGTAAATTAATATAGTTTATACAAGCTTCTTGGCCCTTAATTCCCTAGCTCTGGTGATAAGGATGCAGGGAGAGCATCTTTCACATGGGAGATTTAATTCCTGCTTTCAGGACGAACAGAGGAGGGTCAGAAGCCCTTTTTGCTTCTCAAATAACTTTAATTCAAAATAATCAATATGCCATTGTGGGATATTTTGGGGTGGCCTACCCTGGGCCCCAACAATAGTAGACACTGAGAACTTTAAGGATCTTGTGGCAGGAAAAGGGATCATCTGTATAGGTTGGACAAAAGCATTACCTAAGCCTTATTGAGAACAAGATTTTATTTTGTGGTCTTGTAATGAAGTCTTAGATAAAACAAGGGTATGTGACTGTAGGGGAGGAAAAATAATTTTCCCTCTATCTTTCCAGGTTCTTGGCTAAGACACCCTCTGTAATAAGAGACAGATTAACAGGAGAAAAACAAAAGTTTAATAACCTTTTTATCTCCTGGGAAAGACCCAGGAAAGCTAACTGCCCCAAATGGCCCAATTTATGTACCTTAAATAACATCTTCAACTAAAGACAAAAGAAGATGTTGGGGGCAGGGAGCCAGTTATGGAAGGTTTTCAGGCAAACCACGGTAAACAAGGGTATGGTTATTATGCAGATTTAAGTTGCTGCCTTTTCCATTGATAAGAGTTTCTAGAGATTTGGTCATCCTCCACTTCCTGCTACAGAGAGGGAGACATCCTTACAAATGGAAATTTCTCTTGTAAATCTAAATGTCTCTCACAAAAGGGTAACTTCTACTTGATTTTCAGAGCTTTTCCTCTCTGTCTGCTATTTCTTAAAAATAATCAGCCTAAAATAATCCTTATGACAAAGAGGCATATTTTGGGGTGGCAAATTTTGCTGCTCTTCATGACAATTGTATCAGGGAAATGTTATGGTTTTCCTGCCTTAGGAATTCTCACAAAAGATTCAGAGGAATCGGCCTGAAACATAGCTCTATTCAAGATCAGGGTGGCTAAGGGGTTAAAGGGTTTAGCAACCTTGACTCCTCAGGTACAGTCTCCAAAAGCCAAATATCCTCTTAGTAAAAGAAGAGGGCCAAACTAGGGTGAAAGATTCTTGGCAGCAATGGAATAAGGCTGTTGACCAGCAGTTTTGCCAGTGCTTTAGGTAGTTCCATTATCAGGAACAAATGCCTAGGGCCCACAAATCTCTGAGCCAACTCTAGGAACTTTGATGTAAGTGGCTGAGGTCCAAGACAGACATCAAGCAGCAGATTCGAGAGCTGCTGGTGCTGAAGCAGTTTTTGACCATCTTACCCAAAGATCTCTAGGCCTGTGTGTGGGAGAAGCCTCCAAAATGTGGAGAGGAAGTGACCACACTAGGAAGCTTTAGAGAAAGAGTGATGATCTAGGACAGCAGGTGAGAATGAAGAGTTGTAATCTGGGTAGGACTGTTGAGAATGGTAAGGAGGAGACATGAATGTAAAATTGGAATAAGTAGATCATTGCTGAGCTAAAGTCTTCTCTGTGGTTCCAAGTTTATCCCTCGCTTACTCCTTGCTATATACTTTCCTAGACTTGAGGAATAGATGAATTTCTAGCTCCTAAGTCTCCTGTTCTGTGCCCCTTGGTTATACTACTTGTGATGTATTTTCTGAAGTTTTAGTTCCAATTCCCAGTGTATTTCCCTCACTGGCCCAACTGTATCTAATTTTCTCCTGGTCCTAGCTTGTTGCTGGGATGTTCTGGTTCAGGGTCTCTCGAGAGGTAGCAGTCAAGATGTTGGCTGGGCTGCAGTCATCAGAAGAAAGCTGAGGATCTGCTTTCAAGTTGGCTCACTTGTGGTTATTGGCAGGATGCCTCAGTTCCTTAACACGGAGACCTCTTCAAAGGGCTGCCTGAGTGTCCTCATGCTACTGAACCAAAATGAGTTCACTCTCTGGTGAGTTAAAATCAGACTCTCCCCCAGGAGTCGTCACACAAAGCAAAGTATATTTGCAGGAAATAGGAGACCATGCAGAATCACTTCTAAAGTTGTGGTGCTCCCTGAACAAAGGGAGGCAGGTCCTTTTATTTCGAGTGGAGTGAATATTTAAAAGGGAAGTTTTGTCATCACATGCAGATGCGGGTATTAGCTGGCGCAGGCGCAGTCTGAAAACATGCTGTCACATACATGGCATGTTATGCTAATAAGCCCTAGGCTTCTCTTAGGCTGGAGCTTATAGTGTTAAGATGAGGAAAAAGGGCATTTTCTGGTCATCTTCAGGTCATCTGTGCAGGTGCTGCCATTGCAGTGGGGCTCAATCTGGTTCAGGCTGGTTGACGCTAGTATCTCTTCCCGACATAGCTCTGAAAAACAATCTTGAGGGAGTGTTAAGCACCTTTAACTTCCTTCCAGCTGCTGAGGGAATGCACCGGTGACACTCACAGCATGGCAACTGGTTTCTCCCGAGTGATCCTAAGAGAGAGACCGAGGATGCTGCGATGCTTTCTATGACCTAGTTTCATACCGTCAGTTTGGCCATATTCTACTTTTTAGAAGTGTGTCACTAGGTCCAGCCAACACTCAAGGGGAGGGAAATTAGTTTCCACCTTTTGGATGGAGTTGTGTCAAAGAGTTTGTGGATATATTTCAAACCACCACAGGCAAGTTACTTATCCTCTGTGTGCTTCAGTCTCTTCCCCTCTAAAAGGGGGATGAAAATAGTATCTATCTTACAGGAATGAGTTGTGAGGTTAAATGAGGATGATATCTTTGAAAAGTGTTTTATACCCATTATAACTCTCTAATGCTCTGTTATAATTTTCCCTGTAATTACTACTGAAGCTCTACTGTTCTTATCTGTCTCCTAGACCTCTCTGTTTTAGTGTTCTCTCCCTTGAACTGACCCTGGTATCTGTGCTTGGTTTAGGTTAACCCATGATATATAATCCTGGGACATACTTAAATCATCCTTTGCCCTTTCCCTTAGGTGTCTCAGAAAATAAGTTATATCTGTGGAGTCTGTTTATTTCAGGTGACAAAAGTAGTACTGAGAATAAGAGGTTTGCACCAAAGAAACAAATATTTAAAGAAATACATCCATTTAGGCAGTACCAGCTACATAATTTGCAGGGCTAGTGCAAAATGAAAATGTAGG